TACTATTTGTCATAAGGTACAATTTGTACTTAATGCTCTCTCTGCTGTAATAACTTTTGTTTTACGTAATGATCCTTCTTTTGTTATATCAGTTATTTTTCTGATATTAATAAGTTTGACTGTGTACAGGATACTTAATTTGCTTTATCCTGAGCTTTCTGTCCATCTGGTAAATAAGAGATGAAGTAGCTGGCTGGCATATGTGAAAGCATGTTCAAGTGGCAGTGCCTTCTCTTTCTGTGGTTGCTGCTTGGTAAATCCATATAGAGCTGTAGGTGAAGACAATACTAAAATGCTTGTATTGGAAGAACTGTTAGAAAATACTTCTGCCTGTGTGGTGCAAATATATCTAGATGTCGAATTATAGAGCTACAATTCTAGAGCCAGAGTGGACATAATGATATAATAAATAATTAAATTTGCTGATTTTGGGGGGAAATTTAAGAGTACTGGAAAGGTTAACTTGAATGGAAGAGGAGGGAATTGCATGCCCTTTGACCCTTGCACTTTTGCCAGTTACGAGGTGGTGGGAAGGGAAAGCAACATCTAAAATTGATCTTGACCGACTCTGTAGTCTTTCATTACAGATATTTCTGCATTCTTACAAGGAACTTATCACAGTATTCAAAATTCTAGAATGTGTAAGCTCATCAATGAGGCAATAACCACCCAAGTATTCTTTCCTTTTAGATGCAGAACTTTCTACAGTGGAGGGTTGTTTTTTTTGTCTTTTGACAGGTCCTTGAAGCACATCCAAACTATCCAAAGATCAGGAAGGAAATACTTGACAAGGCCCGTGCATCATTAAGAACATAACTTTTTTTTTTTTTTAAACTGACTGACTTATTAGTATAAGGTGCCTTCAGAAACTATTGCAGTGACAATGTCAGCACGAATGTATGGTGAATATGATTGATTTGCATTGAATTAGAGGTCTGGATTATTTTCAGGAAAAGTCTGCAGCCCTGGAAGGAATTGTAGCTATTCTGCAGAAAATACTGCTTGCATGTATGGTACAAAAAATATCCAGAAATAAAAAAATAACAAAGATAGAGACCACGAGCATCTCTATGGAATACTGCCCAAGTGCATTTCAGATAAACACACAACTTGGATTCTAGTGACTGACTTACTGGAGGTACATTTTCAATCTATTTTTCAAAGTTACACGTGTAGTTCACAATGTACATAGCAAGTATTCTGTACAACTGTGTATTTTTAAGAAAAGTAATAAAATAATTCTAAATAACAAATGCATACAGCAGTCTCTTTCCAGATAAATGCTATGTAGGAGGTAGTGCACTCTTCTATTCTGTGTCCCAGCACTGTCAGTATGTTTTAGGGAATATAATGCAGTATTTTTTTTTGTTCATTTGAAATAGTGCTCAACACCCTGTCCAAACGAGCACAGACATTGTCTTTGTTTATTGTTAAGATGCTAGATCTTGATTTAAGAAATCTGCCTATTCATGATTTCATTTGTTTTTATTTTTACATATGCTGCAAATACACTATTTTTCAAAGATTAAAGAAGTCATATGCATTATTCTTGATGAAACTTTCATTTTTAATGAAACACTAATGTGTAAAGTTAAGATTCTTATATAAATATCCGTTAAATATTTAACAGTTGTACAGATTTTTACATGATATTTTTTCTACTCATGGTGTATTACAGGCTTTCGTGGAGATGAATATTTGTCATGTTTAATTTGGAGTGTTTAGTCTTGCATCTTGCATGTATCATGGTTGTGGATCTGTAAGGGATTGGTAGCATGCTGTGAATGAAAGAACAACTTAACATTGACAATTTAGCATTAAAGGTACATGAAATGCTGTTTGAAATTGTGTGTAATCTTCCTTTCTGTAACTGGGTGCAATGTCTTGGGTAACTTACAGCCTTGTTTCCTAAACAGATCGATATGTATCCTGAATGCAGCGATGCTACCTACTGGGGGTTTCTAGATCCTGCATTCAAGGAAGTTCTGAGCTTTTGGTCAGCCAAAATAAAATTAATGGAAACTAACAGGTAACAGGTGTATAATACTTCTACAATTTTGGTATGAAAGAGAGTTGACAAAAGACTGGAGAAAGTGGCTGCTTCTTCCACACATAACCTTGAAACTTACAGTGTAGACTTATCCTTTTTGTGTTAAGCAAAATAGAGGAATAAAAAGACTTAAGTGGCTGGGGGAAACTGATAGTATGGGAGTAGGATGAGGGACTTGGAAGGATTTGAAGAATGCAGAGGCAGGGAGGAGTTACAAGGAAGCTGGTCTTTGAGGATCAGATTATGAATCCTTAAGCTGCTGGATTTTTTTTTTTTTTCCCCACTGGTAAAGATCAAGTACATATGGCTTTTCATGGCAGTTTCTAATAAGAGAGCATTTCTTTATCCACAGCCTTTTCTGTATGAGATTGATGTCTTTCTGCTTGCTCCCTAGCACTGGAATACCTTAGCTCAAGTTTAGAATAAGAATAAATGCTTTTATGCTGGTACATGCAAGTCATTTTCAAAATAGGTAAAACTAATCCATATCTACACCTACTTTCTTTTATTTTATTATGAGCATAAGATGCATATCACCATCTCATAAGATGGTTCATAAGATGATATGGTACAGAAATTAGTTGATAGAAATTGGTCTTAGACTTGAAGCTTTTCCTTGCTAATTTATAGTGGAGATTTTTGTTGATTTTAGCATGAAAGAAAAGATTTCTGGAATCCTGAGGCTTCCTGAAGACATCTAGCCACTAATGTGCTTTTTTTATGAGTTAAGTCTTTAAAATAAGTGTGCAGTTGAAGAACATCATTAGATTTGAATTAAAGAAACAGTGGCTATAAGCAATTCTTCAGAGGAAATTTTTGCTTTAATAAAATATTCTTAGAAGGAAATGGTCTTACAAACCCTTTTGGTAAGTTTTTCTGTCCTTACTATTTTTTCTTTTTTCAGTGCAGAAGGAATTATATTGTTTCATTTCTCTTTTACTTTAAGCATTAATTCCAGCTTTCCTTCTGCTTCTACAGTTATTTTAAAATTCATGTCCTGGTAGTTTTTTCTCAGTCCCTTAATAAATGGCTTTGAATGGAAGAGACTCCTGGAGGATGAGAGGGAGGATGGAAGGCAATCAGTAATGCTCGTTTCAAAGAGCTGCAGTCTTTAGCATGATGTTGCTTGGCAACCCATCTTCCAGTTTGCCTTTGTTGAATAAAAGAGGAGAGCAAAGCTGTGGTTTCTATTGATTCATTCACTGAAGCTGGGAATCTGGGCATCCTGTAGCTATAGCAACGTGAGCCATAGGTGTCGCTTCCTCTACTGTCCTGACCCCGCAGGTACAGAATGCGTGGAGTATCTTCTAGAGGGATAGGTAAACTTCTTTGGGAGTGGGATGATACTCTTTCCTACTTTTTTTTTTTTTTTCCAGATGTTTACCAATATTAGAAAGATGGTCTAGTAAATATAATTGAGTAAAATAATAGATGAAACAAATTAGATTCTTATCAGAAAAATAGAAATAATTTACAGTTCCCTTTCTGAGCTAGGTTTGACTATCTTGCATCAATTCTTAAATGCATCTGCAGCAATTTTTAGAAAGGCTCATAAATCAGGAAACTCCAGTTTAACAACCTCAGCCTTTATCTTAATAGTCATTAGAGGAGGAGTGAGCAGCTTTGCAAACATTGCAGTTTAAACAGCGCTTGTATTTATCAAAGAACTTGTTGAAAGTTGAAATTGTTCTGTAAGCATTGTCTTGGAACACTTTGGGTAGGCTGCTGGTTCTTAGCAAGTGTGTGATGAACAACTCACCAGTTGGTGTGTTCCCTATGCAATAAGCAGGAAAAATTGGAAAATAAAATCCATCAAGAAGTACTTGTCTGCTTCTGGCTGTGCCACTTCTTACAGTCAGATCACCGCTGTGTCAGCTGTGGCTCTTTACAGCTGTGGCTGATTTTGCTGTGGTTTTACCTCTTCATTAATTTGCAAAGAAATTGACTTTTTTGGACTGTTATTTCAATAAGTGGTTTTTTTTTTTTTTTTTTTTTTTTTTTTTTTTTTTTCCTTCCTCTGCTAAAACTCCTGCCAGAAGAGGAGCAGAGTGACTGATCTGGATGTGGATTTGAAGTACTGTTCTTGAAAATAGTAAGCATGCCTCTTCTTGCAGCCTTTACTTGGGAAAGTAACAGATTTAAAAACCTTTACTATCACTCGAACTTTGGAATGGCTGAGCCTTGCGGCTGCACCAAGCGGGGGTGGCTGCTGTGTGCCAGAGATGGGGTACCTGCTGCAGCTGCAGCCTCAGTTTTCAGAGGTAGAAGGAAGGACTTAACGTGCTCCACCATTTCTAACACGTAACCTGGGGGGAGCTCGGGCCAAAATGGGAGGAGGGAGAAGGCGTTCCCGGCCAGAACCGTTCCCTCGTGCCCAGCTGCTCTCGGCGGGTGGTCGCTGGAGCCGGTGCCACAGCTGTGCCCGCCGCGAGCTGAGCCGAAACGCTGCGGGCCCAAGTTGCTGCACCTGGGCAACTTGGAAACAGACTTTAACTTGTACAGCCCTTCCTTTTCCTCACAACCCGCGTGCTTTCAGCGAGAAGCGCCGCTCCGTCCGTCCGTGCGCGCAGCGGGCCGTCCCTTCTCTCGAGTTCTGATCTCAGCTCCAGCGTTTTGTGCCGTCTCCCAGCAACGTGCGCGGGCAGCACTCGGCCGCGCGCGGTGCAGCACGGCCGGGATTGGCGAAAGCTCGCAGCGCCGCTCTGCCGCGCTTCCACCGCGATCTGCCCGTTACCGCGCGCAGCGGCTGCCCCGCTATGCGCGGACGTAACGCTCCTCCGGGCGCGGCGCGCGGAAGCTGCTGAAGAGAAGATCCGTGCGCTTCCCGCCGCCGCCTCGCGCACCTGGCCGCCAGGTGAGGCTGAGGGCGGGGCGGCGCGCAGGCGCGGGGCGGCGCGCACCTGGCTGCCGCCGAGCGGAAGGCGCCGCCGCAGCCTCCGTGCGCCGTGGGCGGCCTCCGGCCGGGACGGACACCGCGCTTCCCTCCGCCGGTAGCCGCTCGCCTGGACGGCCCTTCTCCCTCCGAACCGGGTGAGTGACGGGGGCTCGCGCGGCTCCGCTGTCCTCGGGTGGGCGGTTTGGGGGCGGGCGCGCGGCCGGGGCCCGGCGGGAGATCCCTTCCCCGAGAGCCCCCTGAAGCGTACGTGGTCCCCTCGTGTCGCCGGGGGTCGGGCGGGGAGGGGCCCTGAGCGGGCCGGGCGTGAGGGACGGGGCCGGGTGGGCTGCCGGCGTTCGGGGCTGCGCGGGCCGGGGCCGGGCGGTGACCGCTGGAGGCGGCGGTGGCGGCCACGGCCCGGGCCCCACAGCGGTGCGGTGACCGCGAGATGTCCCGGCGGGGCGTCGTGCAGCTCCGCGTGCTGCGTTCCGTCCTGCCCCGAGCGAGGGCGCGTGCTGGCCGGGCTTCCCAGCGCTCCGTGTTACGCGTGGCTTTCGCTCGTTTTCTCAGTATCCGAGAGCTGGCAATAAAACTTGTGAGACAGATAGAAACGAGCGAAGCTGAGGCTATCTTTGTGTGAGCATGTTTATGCTGAGAAGTCTTTATTAAACGTTTTTGCTGATCAAACAAGAAGTACCTTACTGGCAATTTGAGTGTTACACGTTCACCTCAGAGCGTTTCACGCGTTAGCCTTCTGTTTCAAAAATCGTTACATCTTGTGCCCTAGTTCTGCCCGTTGGATCTCGCCTACGGGCAGCGCTGTGCTGCTGGGCTGAGCCTGGCCGCTCTGTGGCTTACTGCGCTGCTTCTAGCAGGGTTTGTCCGCAGGCCCGGTCGCTTTGTCATCTGCTGCCGCCTTCCTGAGGCATCTATAACAGTAAAGTAGAAATTAAGTTAGTTGCGGAGGGTAGGTTGGTTGCTACTATTTCTGTCATGCCGTGGGGAGCGGCAGAGCAGCCCTCCCTGCCCTGTGGCTGTGTGGCCGTTTAACCTTGCCCTGTTTTTAGGTGGGGCAGCTGGATACTGTGACTGCTGTCAAAATAGCAGCGTCCTTTGTGGTGCGGCCCTTGGTTACCGACTGCATTGCTCCAGGAAATTCCTCTGTGCTTTGGACAAACGTGTGCTGCTTGTCTGCTCAATGAGCTATACGATGTGCAGGGCTCCCCATTTCTGGCAGTGCAGGGAGTCACGGTCGTAGCATGAACTGATGCTCAGTTGCTTGCCAGCACTTAAGTTTTTCTGTGTTTATCTTCTGTAAGATTGGAAAGTGCTTCAAGTTTCTGGGCTGCGAAGTGTTACATTTTGTGAAGTGTAGTCTTGCCCCAGAGTTGTCTGCATTTCCTTAGCTTTGCTACTACTTTGTGCTGTAGGTTATAGTTCTGCTTATAAACAGCGAAACAGTGTCACAGTACTACTTACAGCTACTTAGGAATAACATCCTGTAGTCAAACCACTACTTCTGTTTGTTAGGGAAGTTTGTTCAGCAGTGACATGCAGAACTGGTCAGGTGAGGGCAAGAGCAAAGAGATGGCACCTCAGAGTTTCCTGCAGTTTGGAAGTGACTGACCCAATAAAGCTCAGTGCATTTCAGAATAAACAAAGCAAAAACATGAGGAAGCTTTTTTTCTTCTTCTTCTTTTTTTCTTTTTTTTTTTTTTTTTTCTTTTTTCCCCTCATTCTTCTGGTTTAAACAAATTTTAAGGCAAATTAGAGTGTAAAACTGTGACTTCAGGGCCTGCACTTAATACTTAGATGCTGTTCTTATCTTAGAAACATTACTGCAATTGGGGGGGAAAAAATCCCTTGGATATGATCCAGAGATTGTTTTCTGGTGCTTAAATAAAAATCAGACACCAATACTATGAAGTTATAACAGCACTTTACAGCTGCTGTGGTGCTCAGTTGTCATCGTGGCATTTTTAGGAGCAGTTTAGAATGCTTTTAACAACAGCCCAAACCAAACTGGCAAGAAGAAAAGGGAAGCTACAACGTTGACTAAAATTTAAATTTAACTCAAATTCAGAGCATTGTTGTAGTTCTAAAACTGTAAAAACAAGCTATAAATATTGTTTTAATATATAGTCACCGTGTACTTTTAATTCATCATTTATTGTCATGGAGAACTATCAGAATTCGCCTCTATCTCTGCCCATCCCATACAGTGCTCAGCTGTAGAAAAGCAGTGGTAGTGCTGATACTGAAAGAGTTCTTAGAAGAATACACAGAAGGAAGGAGTTGTAGTGTTATTTTTTTAATCTTAAAGAAATTCCCAAAGACTGCTTACAAGGTTGGAATACAGTTGGGTGTTCTGGACTGCTGCTGCTGCTTGAATTTCTTTCATCCATTGTGTTATCATCAGGTTACTGCTTCTGATTTTTCTGCAGTAATCACTGGGGTGAATTACTTCAGTCAGTGCTAGAATAATCTATGTCCTTAGACTTTCTAAAACTGACACTTGGGAAATGAAGACACTCAGTATTCTTACAACATACTCAGGAGCAGAACAAGATTTCCCCTGGCTGAGCCTCAAAGAATGCATCCAGAGGAGCAACATCAGGGGTTTGTTGGTCACCAGCTTGTTGGGTACAGCCCTGTCTAGGGGACACCCAGTGGAAATTCTTGGTGGAGCCAGGGAGCAAGTACTTGATGCTGTGAGTGCACAGGCAGGTGCTGACCAGATTCTGCTTCTCCTTTTCAGATGAAGCATTGATCCTTAACTTATACGTGTTTTGTTTTGTGAATCGTTCCTTTATTTAAGTCAAATACTAATAAATCATAAGCAGTAGTACAGGGTACAGTACTTCAGCAGCTCTTTTGCTTTTCCCCATGTTCTGAAGTGCTTTTGCTCTTGATTTTTATGGAGAGCCCAAATTCAGCTAGACTTGCATGTTTCACTTCAAATGTGGCATTTTTTAGCCATGACTTCATCATGTGTGTGTGCATGTTCTTCTGGGAAGCAGGTACGACTTTATTGAGTGATTTTTATTTTTGAATTTTTTTTTTAGTTGGTAGGAAATTTTTGATTTCCAGGGTAGTGGAAGTGCTTATTTCAATAGCTAATGTTTTAGTGCAATCTGCTGTGGGATTCATGTGAAGAAACCAAAAAGCGCTGGAAAGTTCCTTAGCAGAGCAACACCCAACAGGTGTAACTGTGTGCCCTTGTCAGATTTATGCTGGTCTGGGGGAGTAGCTGGTCGTTAGTGTCAGCTGGGTTTTCCTCCAGAATTTAATCAATGTTTGCTCCTTGCAGGCCTGCTTCCTCCTTAGGGGAGCATTAAGGTGTTGGGGAAGGACAAAATAGACAAGGTTTTAACCAGACTGTGATTTTGGAGTGATGGGAGTTAAATAAAGAGTAAAGCTAAATAGTGAGAAAAAATGATGTGGCTGGAATCATTCTTAAGGCTTAATGTTGCTACTATTCTTTTAAAAGCATTTTTCGAGTTCTGTAAGAAACATTCTCAGAAATCATCAGAACACTGTTTAACATCCAGATAAAAAAAAGGTAGATTTTAAACAACTTTATTAAAAAGCAAAGGTATGTTGTGAACACCAACCCCAGGAAATGCCTTCTTACTGGATTGTTCCTCAAGAACTTCTGATGATTTAGGTTACCGTGACATATAGTTGGTTTTTTTTTAATGATTGCCAATAGTGTTGTTCAGAGCGAGCTGCCAGAGTCGGAGCTGTGTGCACATGGGTACTGGAGAGAGGCTGTTCTGTGAGGCCGGCTGCTGGCAGGCAGTGTGACACCGGAGCTGGTGGGTGGCAGAACGTAACAGAGGCTGCTGTGCATTCGGCTTGCCTGCTGTGCTGTGCTGTGGAGCAGGGCAGCTGCTGCCTTTTGGCACTTTTTAGAAGGCGCTTGTAGTGCTTATAAGTTTTCTGCTGCTTTTCTTTTAAAAACAAAACAAAAGCAACTTATACTTTGCTTACCAGTTACATCAAGGAATTGAACTGTGCCACGTATTTCTTCAGCATGTCCTGAAGGACAGAACCGTGGCCTGGTCTGTGTTTACAGATGCTGCTGTGCCATAAAAATGTATGAAATGCTTGTGGCAAGTGAAGATTGCATTGCTGACTACAAAATTACTCTGGGTAAAAACCTTAGGAAACATACAGCTTTGGTGACAGTTGTTTGTGTTCCGGGAACTGATACTGTTCTGTGTGGCAGAGAGCCCTTTTCTTATTGTTAAGCACTGTCCCTTCAAGGTATTTCGTCAGTAACACTGCACTCGGGATTTATCTGTATCAGAGTTCGTGCATTTGTGGCAAAGGAGAAGTGTTGGTGCAATTCACTCCAGCTGCACATACTATCCCAAGGTTATCAGTTGACTCTTTCTTCTGAAAAGCACCTCTGAAACACCACATGCACTGTTTCTCTGCACAGCATGCTGCTGTGCATGCTGCTGGAATGTATGAGTGCCTGTTGAAAGGATAGGTTGTGTTGCTCTCCTTGCACAACCCCTTTACAGGAGTTGCCTTCTCATTCCTGGGGGCAGACGTGTTTTACCTGTGCATTATGGCACTGGTTATGCATGAACAGGCAGGGCACACAGCTCCACTACAGAGAAATGTGCCATCAAAGAGAAATCATGGTGCATGCAGATAAAAAGAAATAATAGTTATGAAGAAAACCAAAGGCAGAATAAATTGCTAAGCCCATTTGTGTTTGCTCGTTAGTCTGCTTAAGTCTTATACGACTTGTTTAAAGGCAGATGTGTGCAAAACATGGGTGACGTAAGAAATAGTCTTGATGAATTTTAGATTGTGTTTATTTTCTTCACAGATATTTTGACTGATTTGCTGTGTGGATCATGACTTTTCTAAGGATTTGCATATGCTCAGTTTCTGCAGGAAATAATCCCAAAGAAAATTAACAGTAATTTAGACTAAGTTTTTCGGTAAAGCATATCTATGCACATCAAATCTTTCTTGAAGAACATGTTACTGTGCTGATAGCAGAGCTGGCAGCAGCAAAGATTTAATTCCCCAGAATTATATGCAACAATGTACGTAAAATGTCTCTGGTACTGTCTAGACTTTTTTTTTTTTTTTTTTGTGGGAAACTAAGCCTAATTTCATATAGCATACGTAAAGCTGGCAAAAAAATGATGAAGCAAGCTTAGTGTAAATAATAGTTGTTGCACTGATTTAAATGCTGAAAGCAGAGAACAGAAATCCGATAAATGCATTTTTAACTCTAACATAATTATTAAGTTAGTGGAAACTAAGTGTTATTAAGTCAAATAACGGATGTGTAACCATAGTTTGTTGTTTTTCTACCTTTTCTGAGTAGTCTTAGGCCAGATCATCAAATCAAAAGAGAATCTTAAGTGTTTTGACTTGAATAAAAATTCAGGTCTCAAATTGAAGCGTTACTTCAGTGTTAAACTTTGGTGAAATTCAATGTCGTTATGTAGAATTACCTTCTGCCTGCCTTTTCATGTTGTATCTCATAACAGGATGCTCATCTGAGTTTAATCTTTACCGCCATGAAGAGTCCCAGAGAGGTGATTGGAGAATGTTGGTTTTTGTTAGTTATACAAAGAGTATTTGAGGGCTATGGTGTTTGAAAGCAAACCAACCTACTGCCCTCTCCCCCAGAGTTTCCTGACTGACTGTGCCCAAATGGCTTCTTGTGAAATAAGGAAACTGCCAAACTTCTCTTATGATATCAAGTACCTCAACTGTAAAAAAAGATGTTTATATTTTCCTGTTTGAAGACAGTATATTTACGTTGCTTATTGATTCTAAGCTTTAAGATATACTCATATTGGCCATGCTTGTGCATTGTGCATTGAGAAACAATAGTGTAATTAAATGTACTTCTGTGTAGGGTTATGAAAGCAATTGTGGTTAAGAGGGTGCAGAGGCTATAGGCTCAAGCTGACCCCAGGCAGATTTAGCAGAAGTGGTTTTACAGGTTGCAGTCTCTTTGATGATGCTTAGGGTTTTACTTTCTGTATTGGGTTTGTGTAGCAAGGTTTTGGTAGCAGAGGGACTGATGGGTGCTTTCTGTGAACAGAGCTGCCCTGTGCCAGTCTCAGCCAGCGCCAGCACAGTCTCACTATTGAATGCTGTCACAGCTGAACCCATTGGTGCAGCAGGTGGTACACTCATTTTTTAAGAAAGGCTAGAAAATGCTCTGCAGCGGCTGTGAGAGGAGTAAGAAACATGTGGGAAAAACAGTCCTGCAAGCACCAAGGTCAATGAGGAGGTGCTTCAGGCACCAGAGCAGAGACTCTCCTGCCACCTTAGGAGAAAACACTTAAAAGACAACAGTTATTGATCATAGCCAGTAACCTAGCTGACCAAGAGAAGCCAGTTGATGTCATCTTTTTGGATTTCATCAAAGATTTTGATGCTGTTTCTCACAGTATTTTACTGGACAAATTGCATATGGCTAGACAGGAACAGTAGGTAACGTAATGCAATGAGTGAACAATTGGGTCGGGCTCAAATGGCTGAATTAAATGGGATTACATCAGGTTGGTGGCCATTCACTAGCGGGGTTCTGTAAAGCACCATTTTAGGGCTGGTTTTGTTTTTATAAGTGATCTGGATGCAGAACTCAAGTGCACACTAAGTAAGCTTGCAGATGGTACTAAATTAGGAGGAGCTGTTGACTCACTCATAGGTGCAGAGGCTTTGGTACAGAAAGATCTTGGCAGGTTATAGGGCTGGCAGTCGCCAACTGCATGTTGCTTAACAAGAGTAAGTGCTGGATTCTGCACCTGGGATGAGGCGATCCTCGATTTATGTACAGACAGGGGAATGAGGGGCTGGAAAGCAGCCCTGTGGGGGGAGGGATCTGGGGGTTCTGGTTGACAGCGAGTTGGATCTGAGTTAGTGTGCCACAGCTCAGCACTGCTGACTGGTCAAGAGAAGGGATTGTCCTGCCCTGTTCTGCCTGGTGCAGACTCACCTAGAGCACTGGCATCATGGGGTGCCACAATATAGGGACATAAGGCTACTGGAGTGCCCAGAGGAGGGCTACAAAGAGGTGAAGATTCTTTCCTTTTCCCCAGGAAAGAATGAATGATTTTATTTTGTTTGTTTTGCTTTATATGGGCATCTGCTGCAGTGCAAAATCTTCAGGTCTAAATAAAATTGGGAAAATAATATAAGATGAAGTGGATTGGATTTTTTAAATGAGTTTTCTTGGAAAATTTATGAGCATTGTGAAGGGTATTTTTTATATATTGTATTATCTACGTAGTGATGCTACAACAAGATTAGTAGCAGTTAAATACAATGTATGAGTTTCTTAAAAATAAATTACTTTAGCTTTGAAATAAACTATAATATAAAACAACTGGATACCTGACCATATTCACAAACTCTTGAGGGAAATCAAGTGACTTTTAAAATTTTCTAGAAGTTCTATAACTTTGTGTGTATATATTATTGCACCTTTTGTTGTTGTTTTTCCAATTTTATTTTATTTTATTTATTTATATATATATATATATTTGCAATTCTTTGGTCAGTAGTTAGCAAGCAGAAATTAAGTGTGGCTTTTAGCTGGCTGCAGCTTAGTTCTTTTCTCAGTTCACTTAGATGCAACATGTACAAAAATGAAGCCTTGCTTTGAATTCAGGATATTGCTATTTCTCCCCTTCTTGTAAACAGCCATTTTTACAGAGAGAATTTAATTCTGATCACTCGAATGCTGGTCCTTAACTATTTTTCATAGTTCCCTTGTCTTTGAAAGCTACTGAGTAATCGCTCGTCTGTAAAAATACATAAATAAATAAATAAAAATTAGTAGGTGAAAGAGGGGAACTCTTTAACATATTCTTTTGATGAGTTGCAGCAGAACATGCCAGAGAATACTGTACAAAAGATATATAGATTTACTGCTTGATACATAGCCTAAATTACCCCATGTCCCATTACTGGTATTAAGTCTGCATTTAACGTGTACAATACGTAACTAAATTAATCTTAACAATTTCTCCCTTGGCAATCTGGTCACTTGAGTCTGACCTGGAAATGGAAATTGGTTTTAAAATATTGGGAATTTTAAATCTCTATGAGGAGCCCTTTACATCTTTATAGTTCACTTTTAGTGCTGGTTTTTCTACCTAGAACTTCCATGTTGATTGCATCAATTTTCCTTCTATCCCACCACTGAACTAAAATTCCCTCAGAATTCCTTAATTTTTAAGATTTGGAGGAAAATTAATGGGAAGTACTGCCTTTATACAGAAATTAAGTATTATTTATACTTTTTTATTTATACTTTAAGTATTAAGTACAGAAAGCCTGCTTTCTGATTCTTCAGTTTGAAGTGTGTTGACAAAAAAAAAAAAAAAAAAGGGGAAGTGCATTCGGGTATTTTACAGATAGGTGAATCCTATATTTAATTCATGGACACGTGATATTTGATGCTGGGGAGTTTGAATTAATTCCTGCCAAGTAATTTCTTGTAGCTCTACATTGTTGTAAGTACTGTTTGTCTAACGTATTACTTTTTGTTTTGATTTACAGGTATTTTCTTTTCAAGATATGCTGTAAAATAGTATTAAAGAACATCATTCAGAGAAGCTTTTGTTTTGTGATAAACTTTTAGAACTAGAATGGCTTTGAAAATAATGCCTAAAATATTCAAGAAATTATTTTTTCACTGGAAACTTTGGAAATTTAGCATTATTGTGTTTGTCTTTATAGTATTTTTATTTTTACTGCAACGAGAAGTTGGTGTCCAAGATTTTAGAGATGAAGGAGGGATTGAGCCAGTTGTCAGAAAGAAGAGTCATGTATTAGGTCTTGTGCTAAATGCTATGAACAATGTCAATGGTGCAAAGCCAAAAATGCAGATAAAAGCACCTGTAAGGCAAACTAAGGTTCCTGGAGACAGACACTGTTTGCCAGGACACTACACTACGATGGAACTGAAACCCTTTCTAGATCGACCCCTTCAAGATCCTAACGCTCCTGGAGCTTCTGGTAAAGCATTTAAAACCATCAACCTAAATCCAGAAGAGCAGAAAGAAAAAGAGCGTGGAGAAGAAAAACACTGTTTCAATGTATTTGCAAGTGATAGGATTTCGTTACACCGGGATCTTGGACCGGACACTCGACCTCCTGAGTATGTGGAAATGTGTATGTCCTGCTAGCTGAATACCTTGACAGAAGTGTGAAGGCTATGATTTGAGTTTAGCGTTAGATTATCGCTTAGAAAGGGAAATGTCTGGGTTATACATGGTCATTTACAGTACATAATGTTCCAGAGTGCAGAAGCCAAGAATATTTAGAAAGGTTCACATTTCATGTTAAACATATTTAAATAAGGTTTTCTGCTACGTTTTCTCAGTGACTTTCTGGAAGCTGCTATGTTTTACTTAGGAGAAAACTGAAAATATGGTTTAAACTTCCTTCTGTTTTAAAATCCATTCCCTACTCTTTTTAAAACAAAATATTAAGTGTTAATAAAGCCACTGGCATATTATGATTTTGATAACAAAACAGTAGCACTTCATGGTTAGAGTGGATTTTGGTTCTGAGAAATCTCCTTCGGTATTCTTTATCTGTCGATGTCAGAAGTGACAGTCCTTACTGAGCTGGTGCTGGTAGGGTGGCCAGCACTTTATGTGTGGTGCAGATCACAATAATCTTTATGGGAGTGTAACTGTCTGGTGAGACTTGGCCTGTATGTTTTGTGAGGGCTTTGGCAATAGATGTGATAATTGCCTTGGGAAGTATGCCAGCCTCTAGAGTTGGCAGGCAATAAACAGTAAGTGTGCAATTTATGAATACAGAAACATTGTCTCATTAGCTTGACTCACAGTTGGGTTTAAAGTTCTGTCCAGAATACACCAGTCTTGAAAACCTGTATGTTTAAAGTTGTTTCACTTGAATGTTTTGTATTGCTCTAAGCATTATGTGGTGTTTCTAAGAAAAAGTCAAGTCCTGAATTTGATTTGTTCTATTTTTCTATTTCAAACTGCATTTCTTCAATTTCAAGTAAATACTTTTTCTCATATTTTTGTATTTCAATAGTAATGGTCTGACTTTTCAGCTCAGTATCTGCTGGTCTTAATAGAAAAATGTGTTTTTGTCTGAATAAGGCCTGGGTGCTCCATGAAATACACTCAAATGTTGTGTGAGAGAACTAGAGTTGAGCCAGTTGTTCAGGTGGAGTTCTTATTTGCCAGATGTTTACAGAATACTTCTTACAGCTTTTCCAGTTGTTTTTGTGCTATGTTTGTGCTCCAAAACTTGGACAGAAATTGGAGAAGCTGAAAGATTTAATGTCCATATTTATACACCTTCATACTGGGAAGAGTAGGGTTTCTCTTAAGAGGTTGAATCAAAACTTTTTGTCCATTTTCTGACATCTGATGCTTTCTAATCTGCAGATGCATTGAACAAAAGTTCAAGCGTTGCCCACCATTGCCAACCACAAGTGTTATAATAGTTTTTCATAATGAAGCATGGTCCACTCTGCTCAGAACTGTTCACAGCGTGATGTACACTTCTCCTGCCATACTGCTAAAGGAAATTATTTTGGTGGATGATGCCAGTGTTGATGGTAAGAAGTCTTTCCATTTTTCATTGAACGTATTATTTATTTTATAGAAAGTGTGTTAGGATTATATATAGAATGAGATAAAAGAGGCTATCATCTCCTTACAGCCATACTAAACACCTTATGATGTTCCAAGTACTTTTGTTCCTTTTGTTCTCCTTTAAAATACAAAATATTTCTCCCTCGCTTTTTCTTTGCGAGAATTGTCAAGTATGAAATTTTCTTCTGAGAGGCTTTTAAAACCTATTCTGATTACGTCAAGGAATTTAAAACCTTTGAAGAGCTCAGTGATAACTGTGGTATCAGTGGTAAATGTGGCATCAGGCTTGGGAGGTTTGAACCTCTGCTGTTTTTCTGTCTGAAGATGCTCTTGTTTGGGTCATAGCTCTTAGTTTTTATGAAGATTTAATGCGATGAAACTCATCGTAATTTGGCATCCAGCAGCTGTTCCTAGCTGTGGTGAAGTTTTTCTGGATTGGAAATCTGGGATTGCTTTCTTTCAATTTACTGTGAGAGGTGGAAAAATTGGGAGAGATCAAAAAGAAAGCCTTTACGAAGTATGTGTGAAAATGACTCTCTTTGGTACTCCCCCACACTGCTGTTTTGCAAACAAATTGGGGGGGGGCAGTGTAGGAAATGTTGAGTAAACATCTGCTTCGGCGAGGCCCGTCCTGGGAGAGCTCAGAGGTCTGGATAGGCAGATGCAGGAGACAGCGGTGGATGCAGTAACTGCAGCCATACGTAGGCTAGGAGCTTCATCTGGGTGGCCATGTTGGTTCCTGTGGCTGCAGAGGCCACTGGGGATGTGGAGGCCACAGCTCTGAGCTGGGCTGAGGCCATGACAGAGTTCCTCGTGAGTGACTGAAGCTGTCTTTCGGTACAGCAGACAGCACCCTCCTGTGCCATCCACCATGCCTGCCCCAACCACCAGGTGCTGGGGGCTGCTGAGGCTTCTCCCATCCTTCAGTGCTGCCCTGCAGTGAGAAGGAGGCACTTCTACTGCTCTATAGCCACCACAGCCTTCTGTGCCCAACACTGGGCAAAGGCTGAACCCTCAGCCTGTCCTGGGCTGCTGGGTGTGCCTGAGGCCTAAGCTGGGCTCTCACCCCATAGGGCAAATTTGTTTGGCACTGGGGAGAGCAGGAGGGGTTGCAGGAGTCCCAGTGCAGCCTCGAAAGTACCAAAAATGGAGGCACTTACTGGTTTTGCTTTTTTTTAATAATTTATTATTTTTTTTGTATCATCCTTTTAGATTGCTTACTGTCCAATCTTGAATAAAGGTCCTAATGAAGGAATTGGAATGAGGTTTCATGATGTCCATCAGCCCTTTTTTCCACCCAAACCAAAGTTCTCTGCTTTTTCAAAGGAACAGCTGCCTGTGGAGCTCCCCTAATGCCACCTAGATGGCAGCAAGGAGCTTGAGGCCATCAGCTGGACTCTCCCTGTTGTCTCAGAACAGCTCAGAGGGCATCAGTCCCAGTCCTACCCTCATCCTTAGGGCTTGCCTGGATATCAGTCCCAGTCCTGCCCTCTTCCTCAGGGCTCACCTGGATGCTGCAGGGAGCTCAGGGCCATCTACTGGATTCCTGTTGTCTCAGTGCAGCTGCTCAGTGGATTCCAGTCCTGGTCTTTCCCTTTTCCTCAGAGCTTGGGAAAGAAGAAGTGAGAGGCCTTGGCAAGGATGAGAATGGGAGGCAGGATAGGAAGGGTGATAGGGAGCAGCATCTGATGCTGGGGCTCTCTAGTGGATGGTGATATTTCAGCACCAAGATGGAAATTGAGGGCTGGTGTGCTGGCAGTGGATGAGGTAATGTCTCCAAGCAAGCATGATGTTATAGCACTTGTCCTGCCCTGATGGAGGTGGATCCACTTCCATTGGTTCTTCACTTCTGAAGGTAGATCTACCTCCATGGGCTTGACATGGCCTTTGGGTGGATCCACATTCATTGGCTCAGGTTCATTGCTGCTCCCTTGAAGCCTAAGCTTCTTTGGTGGAGGAGGCTCTATCCTCCTATGCAGAGGTGGGAAGGAGGATTCTATCTAAATTGTCCATTGTGCCAGAATAAGCTCACCAAGACCCAAGGCTGTTGGTAGCTGGTTTTCTGTTGGCAGAGTCCCCATATTTATAGTAGTTGGCAGGGAGGAGGCTTGTGACATCAGAAAGCCATGGTGGTGTGACCCTGAGAATCTCTCATGACAATCAAAACATGGCTGTATTGGGAAAGGGGAGACTATGGTCTGAGAATTGCCCTAGTTGTCACTAGTGGGATTCTGCAGGAGTACATTTTTGAATCAGTACTCTTTAATGTTTTCATCAATTATTCCAGTAAAGATCTGAAGTAAATCTGTGGATGATGTTAAATTGGGAGGAGTGTTGACACTCTAGGAGTAGAGAGGCCTCGCACCAAGGTCTTGACAGATCATAGAATCATAGAATCACAAGGTTGGAAATGACCTACACGATCATCTAGTCCAACCATCTCCTCATCACCATTGCCACCACTAGCACTAAACCATATCATGCAGCACATCATCCAGATGCTTCTTGAACACTGCTTTCACAGATTTCACAGTGCTCATCATTTTTATGAGGAAGAAGGAAGTGCTGGATGCTGCTCCCCAGTGGGGAAAGCCTTGGCTCTATGTACAGACTGGGAGACGAGGGGCTGGACAGCAGGCCTTTGGGAATGGATCTGGGTAATCTGGTTAACAGCCAGTTGGATCTGAGTCAGCAGTGTGCCCTGGCAGCCAGAGGGGCCAACCACACCTGGGGCTGCGTCAGGGCCAGCACTGGGCGAGGGAAGGGTTGTCCTGTTCTCCTCTGTCTGGTGCAGCCTCACCTGGAGCAATGAATGCAGTTTGGGGTGCCTCAACATAAGAAGGACATAAAAGTATTAGCAGGCAAAGGAGGGCTACACTGGTGACTGAGATTCCTGGGTTTGTTCAGCCCAGAGCAGAGGGGAGACCTCATGGTGGCCTGCAGCTTCTCACAGGGGAGTGAAGGAGCAGTGCTGAACTGTGATCAGTGTTGGCAGTGACAGGGCCTGAGGGCCTGGCACAGAGCTGAATAGGGAGGGTCATGCTGGATATGATGGAAAGGTTCTACACCAGAGGGTGGTGGACACAGCCTGAGCTGCTGGTACTCAGGGAGCATTTGGACACAGCTCTCAGGTGTAGGGTTTGGGTACTCCTTTGTGGAACCAGGGGTTGGACATGATGATAGGCAGAGGGTGGCAGAGCATGATGTTTTATGAAGAATGTGAGATTCTTTCCCAAATTTTTCATGTTTAAGTTGAGGGTTTTTTTATGGTGGTGGTTTTTTGGTTTTTTTTTTTTGTTTGTTTTTTTTTTAAATATAGCTTCTGTCAAGAGTAAATACAGTAGCCTCTGAAAACCTGGAGTAAAATACACTGTTGAGTAGGTACATGATGCATTTGCTTGATGTATTTGTGAGAATGGATTTTGAGTTGATAGTCAAGCTGTCAATTCAGCTGAACAGTTGTTCCAGCAAGTGTCTTTTGTCTTTTAAAATTAAATTTTCAGTTCTCCAAGCCCTGTTGTCTGCCAATTGCTTCTTCCTTCATCCTCAGTCTCAACAGAACTCAGCCCCTAAAAATTACATTCAACAGTCAGGACTTGTTCACTGCTTTAATGTTGAGGTCACTGCTGGAATTAGAATGAATTGTTCGTCCTCTTAGTTTAGTAAAGTGAAATTTTAGGCCATGCCATATGTACTCAATATCCTGAACACAATTTCTCTTTCTAGAATACTTGCATGATAAACTTGATGAGTACGTGAAGCAATTTCAGATTGTTAAAGTAGTCCGTCAAAAGGAAAGGAAAGGTCTAATCAGTGCACGGTTGTTGGGAGCTTCAGTAGCAACAGGAGAGACCCTCACCTTTCTGGATGCTCACTGTAAGTGATTGTCTTTGATTTAATGCTACAGATTTTTTACGAGTTATGAACATGAAGTATTAGCTCTTCTACTGCTATTTTATGTCATAGTTAAGTGCTGTTTACAAACTGTACTGGCTTGCTATGGTCATGTTAAATTATTCCCATTATACTACCATATAGTCAAATTGAAAATTCAGTACTTGTTCCCATTTTTTCTATAGGTGAATGCTTCTATGGCTGGTTAGAACCATTATTGGCAAGAATAGCTGAGAACTCTGTTGCTGTTGTAAGCCCTGATATTGCATCTATAGATCTCAATACTTTTGAATTTAGTAAACCATCTCCTTATGGGCATAACCACAATAGAGGAAATTTTGACTGGAGTTTGTCATTTGGATGGGAGTCTCTTCCTAAATATGAAAATAAAAGAAGAAAAGATGAAACCTATCCAATCAGGTAAATGTAACTTGAATAATATCCTTCAATTTTCTTGTGGTTTTTTTTTTTGTTTGTTTGTTTGGTTTTGATTTTTTTTTTCTTAATAAAAAGCTGTTTGTAAATGAATTAGTTACTCATATTGAGTATAGTCACAAGTCTTAGCATCTTAGATGTTTTATGTAATGTTTTCTGTAGGAGCCTGGTTATGCATTTTAAAACATGCAATACAGTGCATTCTTTGCCCTCAGACATGTTACTGGTTTAAAGGAGTAGTAACTTTCCCTCCATACAGGGAAAATATGTTATTTTTACTGATACTGTCTGATAATCTGTTTGTTAATGAGTGACAATAAAACTGTGGAATGAGACTCAATGGGGGCAGATTTAATAACCTGTGCCAGGAAAATATTTTAATGGAGTGAAGCACTGACAAATGCTAAGAAACATTCCAGAACAGTAGTACTGAGTTTTCATATCTATATTTGGAAAACCTACGTTAAACGTAGTTTGAATCTTCTTTTCCACAGTAATCTTCTCTTTTTGCAGAACACCTACTTTTGCTGGAGGTCTCTTTTCAATATCAAAGAAGTATTTTGAACACATTGGAAGTTATGATGATGAAATGGAAATATGGGGAGGTGAAAATATAGAAATGTCTTTCAGAGTAAGTTTAGCTACTTACTTAATACTGGTTTCTACACTAACAGTCTACATGATTTTTGAGAACAAATTAGTATTGTATCTTGACTACTCTGCTTAATCAGCCATCTAGGACATGGCAAATTGATTACTAATAACCTATGAAATAAGCTACAAACTTGCTCACTAAAGTGATTTATTTTTATTTAAATGTCATTAATGTTGATAGCTGAAATGTACATTTTACAGGGTTTACCTGATAAGGAATTTCACCTACAGTGCTCCTGATATATACTCTCTTGCTGGTAGTGTTGTTTTGTTCTATTTAAGAGAACAGTAGCGTTGCTGAATTTTTTTTTTTTTTTCTTCCATTTCCTTAATCATAACTTCATTGCACTTATACAAAAAATGTTATTGTTAGGTATGGCAATGTGGTGGACAGTTGGAGATCATGCCTTGCTCTGTTGTTGGCCATGTCTTTCGCAGCAAGAGTCCCCATACTTTCCCAAAAGGTACTCAAGTAATCACACGTAATCAAGTCCGCCTCGCAGAAGTCTGGATGGATGAATATAAAGAAATTTTTTACCGAAGAAACACAGAGGCAGCAAAAATTGTGAAACAAGTAGGTGGTGATGGTGGTGGTTTTAGAAATCACACTTGCTGCATTGAAAATTTTGGTGAGCAAAAAGTTATTTATTGACAAAGTATGTTTGAAGTGTAGACATTTTAGTGAAAATACAGACATAGTTCAGTTTAATTAATCTTACAACCTTCCCTTTCGGGGAAAAAAAAAAAAAAAAAAATCAATCCTATATCTGTCAATTTAGAAACTTAAGTTAAATTTAGGCTTTGCTGGGGAAGGTTGTTTTTATAACTGATCTGGAACTTTAGTAATTTACCAGCTGGAACTTTATACTTTTCTCTTAGAAGATGTTTTTTAACCCTTTATATGGACATTGTAGCAGTGATAGCAGTAGATTTCCCAAGCAAGCTTAGCAGAAAAACACAACTGGATTTTGTGTGGGAGATACTGTATTTGTGTGGGAGATAGCAAGTATTACGCTAGTTATTGAACTAATCCACTTAAGCATTCTCTTTAGTGAGATATACTCAGCGGTTAGCTTTATGGCTGTGGTCAGTATGGTCTTTAGTTGTTTTTACATTGCCACTTTATAGCACTGTTAAAGCACTCTATGAACTACGGGTACTTCTTTTTTTTTTTTTTTTTTTTTTTTTCATGTCACAATGGTTTTTTCTTTCTTGTGCTCTGAGATGCTACAGGCAGGATGTCAGTGGTGTTATGAAAAACAAGTTGTGTACTAGCACAGTTACTTTTTAAAAAAGATCTACTTTTTTGATGCTACAGAACAGGATATTATAGATTTATATGTACAAAAATATTAATAATATCAATACATTTCTCTTCCTGCAACAGAAAACATTTGGAGACATCTCAAAACGACTCGACTTAAGGCAACGTTTGCAGTGTAAAAATTTTACCTGGTATCTGAATAATGTTTATCCAGAAGTATATGTTCCAGACCTAAATCCTTTGTTTTCTGGATATGTGAGTTTAATTTTAATTCTTTTCTCTGGTATTCTAGAATTCAAGAAATTAGCTAATCCTTTGTGCTACTTTAGCCATAGTGTTTACATTTTAGCTATTGTTAATTGCTGTGGAGTTTTCTATCAGTACTGTTGATGATTGATGAGTCTCACCTGCATATCTTGCTATTTGAGTATTTTATGGCTCTACTGATGTTATTATATGAAACTTAAGCAAATACTCTTCTTAAGCAACAGTAGCTTTGCTTAAAGGGGTCTTGGAGCCTGATAATATAGTCAGCGTTCTGCCCATGACTTAATAGTGACTGCCACAGAAGTACTACACAAGTTCTAAACAGGTGGTGAGTTTTCCTGAATTGTCAAAATAAATTTAGCTTTATATAGTGAAAAGTCAGAGAGAATTTTTAATTCACATTAGGAAGGAAGGCTGTACTCTGGCAATTGTATACTACTCTGAATTAGGTTTATGATGAACATTATTTATTTTAAAGATCACTCCATATTCTCTGTCAATTAACCTCTTAGACTGCATAACTGGATGTTGTGTTGAGGGACATGGTTTAGTGGGAGCTATTGGGAATAGGTGAACGGTTGGACTGGATGATCTTTTAGGTCTTTTCCAACCTTGGTGATTCTATGATTCTATAATGCTAAAGCCAACAAAGTATTAAACAATTCTGAATATTTAGCATGTATTTACAAATAAAACTTCCCCTTTCTCTAGTTTTGAATATTTTGTGTGTGTTTTCAAATTGTAATCTGAATCATCAGATTCACCATGGAGAATGGTAGTTGAGTAATTCACAGTGCATGGCTGTAGACAACTGTATGAAGTTAATAGACTTTTAGGAAGAAAAAAATACTTCTGTGGGAACAAGATTTTAAAATTTGAACAAAGTAGAAAGCAAAAATAAATTAACAGTTTTAATTAATAAGATAAAGATTAGGCTTCTACACAAGTGAGGCAGTTTATTTTTTTCTCATCCTCACTGAGCTTTTGTATTTCTTTTTTGCTGTTAACAAATTTTTTTTAGCTAAAAAATGTAGGTAACCACATGTGTCTGGATGTTGGTGAAAACAACCATGGTGGCAAACCATTGATTATGTATTCTTGTCATGGACTTGGAGGAAATCAGGTAAAATATCTGGGTTTTATGATCAACCGTTTACCATAGTAAAGCTTTTAACTTGATGTAGTGAAATGGACTCATATTTAGCATGCAAGATTTACATTTTTTTTTTATATAGTTTTTTAAGAATTCAAATGTATATATGTGTGTGTGTGTATATATATTTGTTCAAGGCAGGTTTTTTTCACCGCTCTTCTTGTTGTGTCCCACATCTAACATCCTATGTTCAACATACAGATTCAGATTTTTTACGTAATAGCACTACTTCACATGGTCTCTTGTTCCTGTGCAGAATCTTCTCAGCCTACTTTTACTACTTTCTTGTGTTTTCTTCTTAACTCTTCTTTTCCTTATGCTTCCTCCTATTGCTTCTGTCTCTATCAGCAGGACTCACACTGTCAAGGAAGATGGGAATCTGGCCAGTGGTGGGAGACCAAGTGGTCGGCCTGAGCCATCTTTCCTGTCATGCTTACAGCCTCGTAGTGTGAGGTCAAAGTGATCTACTCTATACTGGCTCATGCAAGTAAACTACATGACTGAACTTGTCCAAGAGGAGCTTTCTTTGTTGCTTAGCTCTTGGGGGAGCAATGATCTCCTGTTTCTCCTGCAGTATGACTTGCAGACGTTTATTGATGTCCAGTACTGAATTCTTCAGGCACTATAATATTTAAAAATTAGCATCTCCCTCCCCCAGAAATGTACAGTGCTGTTTTATAGTTATTTGGGGAATGAACTTGACTTGTAAAAGCCAACCATTTATGGCACTGTGGAAACTCAGACACTTGACCCTACTCAGCTGATGCTTTCCTAATCAATATTAGTGGGAGAAGGAATACTGTCTAGTTTAATCGCTACCCTGTTATGTTAGCTCCTTGCAGTACTGAATTTTTTTTTATTTTGTTCTGGTGTTATATTATCCTTTTCAAATGGTCACAGTCATTAATACTGTATTAATACTGTATCAAGATGTTATATTAAAAGACCTGCTATATGCTTCTGTTGTCACCTCTCTCTAACTTACCTTGGATTATACTAAAACTGTCTTTTTAAGTGTGTTCTTTGTTTTTCCTTTTGCCATGCCGTAACAGCTTTTATTCTTTTAATATAGGTTGTGCTAGTAATACACAAGAGATGTAGGTATTTGCTTACTTAATCCTTCACATTCCGTTGCTTTATGCTCTTTACCAGACTTTAGCAGTGCAGGCTGCAGTTTTTCATGTTACCTCTCCTTTCCACCTATGTTTGAGGTAGGAGAGGGGAGTGGAACAGAGAACCTAGTTTTCAGAGTTGTATAAAAGTTGTGTAACTTTTTTTCATTTGTAACATATTCTAGAGGTGATAATATGTCCATTTCAATGTCTAAGATAAATTAATTCCTAAAGCAATTTTCCAAGTCCTATTTTCAGGGCTCAAAGAGAGTCCCTAAGATTCAAAGATAAATTAAAAAAGCTTTACTTAGATGAACAGATTAAACTGTTATGTTTGGGAGCTAAATGGCTAAGCAGGTACCTAACAGTACCTGTTTCAGGTAGTGACGCTGGGCGTAGGAACTTAGGAGTGAGGTGTCTGTTCCTCAGTGTTGCTCGCATCGATTCCCAAGGCAAGGAGGGAGGATGGAAACTGGCTAATTGGACAGACAGTTGAAAGCAACAGGGTGCTAACTGAGTGTGGGCTGTCAAAGGACAGATATGGCAAAGGCTGACACAGGGAGCCAAGAAACAGTTGTCGTGAGACACAGTGATAGAAAGCCTGCTGGTTAAAGAAAGAGACCAGGATGTTCAGGATATGAGGTATAAAAGGACTGCTGTGTCTGTAACTGTTAGAATTAAATGCCTGTTTAGACCTGAACTATAGCCAAGGATACCTGAGACTTGAAAGTAATCTTCTGTCAGGAAATAACAGTAAAATACCCACAAATTATGTCCTTACATTACGCTTTTCTTTGTAATGACAACTTCACAGAGAATCCTTTTGTTAGCATTTATTGTTTACTTCGAGCAGCAAAAGTTAACTAATGGCAATCAGTACTGTCCATGTGACAAAATTGGGTTTTGGTTGCTCTGAGAATATATAAAAATGTAACAATGAAAATTGAATAAAACTTCTTGTTTTAGTTACTAAATGACAAAATTAAACTTATCCATACAACTATTTCTACTCTTCCCTTTGTATCATGTATTAGTTAAGATTTCTGGGAGTGCATGCAATGAAATCTTGCATGATTGTGTACATGCACTAAATATATATATGTATATGTGTATATATATATATTTAACTAATTCTACATTTAAGTACTATTCACTGTATTCCATTGCATCAGAATTAAAAAAGGCATTTTTTAAGAAACACTTCTAAGACGTGTATGCTAAAAGTCAAAGAAATGATTCTGTAGTTTCAAACTGTTGAATAACAAAAGAAATCTATTGTTTCGTGTATTGGAATGTCAGAGTTAATTTAATACTCTCGTTGATATTTACTTACTAAACTTCTAAAAAATTATTTGAATAGTACTTTGAGTATTCTGCACACCATGAAATTCGTCATAACATTCAGAAGGAGCTTTGTCTGCATGCTTCTAAAGGACCTGTGCAGCTTCGTGAATGTAGCTACAAAGGCCAGAAAATCTTTGCCTTTGGAGAAGAGCAATGGCAGCATCAAAAGGTATTTAGACATGCAGTCTAAGATGGGCGTTTTATCAGTGATGAGTTAATTTATGGTTTTTAATAAAAGAGAAAACCCAAGAAAACAGAACTTGAAGCCAAAAAAGGAGTAAGTTCCTTTTTGGGAAGAAAATTTAGATAATTATAGCTTTTTGGTTACCTGCTCAAAACTTGATGATTTCACTGGAAGAGTCACTTACAAAAACAGTTGATGTGTTTTATTGTGTATGTCTGGACATGCATTGGAAGTCAATTCAAATGCTTAGATCTTTTAAAATAATTCTTTTTACTAGCAAAACAAGTTAGCACTTGCATACTACTCTTTTCCTGGCCCCCTTCTGCACAGCATGCACCTACTCTTTTTTTTTTTTTTTTTTTTTTTTACAACAATGAACTTGCAGAAAATGATGTATGGAGGAAAACAGCATTTTCAGTGTTTACCTTTTTTTTTTTTTTCCCCTCTTCTTTCTTACCCACTTTAGGATCAAACTCTGTACAGTGCAGCACTACATATGTGCCTTACAGGAAATGGAGAGCATCCCAGTTTGGTTTCCTGCAACCCATCAGACCCCTTCCAGAAGTGGATCTTTGGCCACAACAATTAAGATTTGCTATCTATAGACAGGAGCATTTTATTAAAAGAGCAGTTCCATTTCTAAACAGAGACCATATATGTATACTGTGTTTTAAAGGAATGTATACTTCAAATGCAAAATTTTTCTTCCTTTTCTTTACTGTGTGAATTGGATATAAAATGTGTAGTCAGAGATTCCCTAGGAGTCTGTTACACCAAAGAATGTTTGAGGTCCCAATTAAAGATAATGTTTACAATATTTGCATGATAAGACTGTGTGTTAACCATTGATTCATAGATCCTGTAGTCCCTTTTCACCTTGGGGACCATGTGTATATTGCTTTACCGCATATTGTAAGTATTTCTGAAGACAACTGGTTTACTTTGTAGAGTTACAAGGAAGTATCGTATGCCATCTGAAAGCCAAAAGGCTGTGTGTGTGTGTGTGTGTTCTTGCTCAATTGGTTGACTTTATGTAATTTTTTAAAAAGTTGTTTATTTCACTAAGTGAAACTTTGCTCACTACTTTTTTTTTAAACTCCCTCATTTGAAAAAGAACCAAAGAGGCTACCATACTGTGCTGTTGTGCCTCTAGCAAAGCAACCCTTTTGTTGTAGAAGAAAAAATAATTCTCACTGAAATATGTTATTTATATGGAATTATTTAAATGGAAAACCTGCCTACTCTGATATTAATCTCCTTTTGTTTAGCCAAAATTGTACTTTTTTTAATGATGTCATGAAGTTTAAAATTCATGGCAGTTACACTGTTGACATTTTCAGCTTTTTGTTACTGCTTTTAAATTACTAACATGTTTTCTTTTCAGCTTTTAGTGATTTATGCAGTGTTTACCTAATATGTTTCTAATATTATTTGTACATAATTTACTGTGCAAACACCTAAATATGGATATTTTTTTAAAATTTATTTTTTGATGCTTCCTCTTTTTTTGAAGTACTGACTTCAGTTTTAACAGTGAGAAGTTGACTTTCCAAACTGCTTTGCTAGCAATTTTAATGAAATAGTGTATTCTTTAAGGATCCAAAAATGTACTTAAGTAGATAATGTAGAGCTATGACTTCCGAAATAGGCTTCCTCTGATTATTTTAATAATATTTATTTCTTTGGTTCTTTTACTGGATGCACACTTGCTAAGCACTACTCTGTTAGCCTTCATTGCAGTTGCCAATCATGCCCATTTTCTGACTGTGAGTATTTCAGGCCTTCTTTAGTGAAAGTAACTCTGTACAAAAATGTCCTTCTAAGGAACAGAGATTTACTCTCACTTAGAAATGTTTACTTCAGGGTATGAATGTGAGATTAATGATCACCCCAACTTAAAGCATGTAAGATCACATAAAAATTGCACTTTAACAAGGTAAACTATTTTGTAATAAACTTCATACTCTGATTTGGAGAACACTTAGCTGGTTGATTTGAATTGCAAAGATTTTAAAGTAACCTTTAATTTGCATGTTTTATGATGTGGGGGAAAATTCTATAAAACTAAAATAATAAATTTGTAGTAAGGCAGCAGCAGAATAAATATGAGGGAAATATTTAAATGTAATCTGAAAGTGCCAGTGTTGTTACTTAGTAGGTATGGGAAGCATCAAAGGTAGAAAGGTTCTTAGGTTTTGCAGCTTATCAAAAGAATTGCATTGAACAGCTGTATTCAGATGGTAGAAAATAGTAGGTTTAATAGCAACCAGCTTGTTTTTTAATAATGAACTCTTTAATGATGTGAATCACAAGAAACGTGCACATAAGAAAGTGAAACAAAAAGATCAGACCTATTAATGTAATATTTTCAGAAGTACTTGGTATTTCCCTCAAGAACTACACTGATAAGGCAAGGGAGATTAAGGAAAAGATCATGGTTGCTGCAGGGGAAAAAAAAGTATTTGGGTGCTAGATAGTATTTGGCTGCTGAGACTAATAATAAAGGAGGGAATATTAAGTAGGACAAAATACTTACATTTCAGATTTTTTTCTGGTAAATAACAAATATCATTAAGGAGAAATGCTTATTTATCTGTAGGATCTGGCTAATGGATGGATATGGTGTGGTGTTATTGTTTTCTAGTGGGGGAAAGGAAGCCTGCTTTTGCTTAATTTCAGAATATTGGAAAAATGAGTTCAACGTTTGAAGAAACATAAGAAGAAATTGCTTTTCTCCTGAAGGTTTACAACAGAAAACAGTTGGGGATTATTGAGCAGCTGACTAATGACTGTTTTTAACTATGTCTAATTTCTTGAGCAAAAGGAATTAGCAGATTTGTAAACAGCAGTGGAAGGCACCAAGTACATTTTTTCTTCTATTCCGTGTTAAGATCTGAAATCAAGTATCGTGTCTATGTTAAGCATTGCACTTCCAAATGTGTGTGTGTGTATGTGTGTGTGTGTACATATGGATATCGTACAATTTCATAAGAGCAATTAAAGATCTGTTGTAATGTGTTTGGAGATACAGATTTTTTTATATTAATTACAACTTTTTGAAATTACATGTTTTTAAAAAGTAGTAACAAAGCACTAGTAAAACATAAAATAAAATAATGCATTTATGAATTATTGTACATCATCTCTGTCCTTTTTCAGCTCTGGCCTTCAATCTTTCCTGAGAAGTTAAATTTCTTTGCCTTTCTTTTTTCAGGGGTCAGAAGCAGATGTTCTCATTGGTGTAATTTATTACATTGACATCTTTCTCAAGTAAGTATGGTATGTGGTGCTGATTTTTCTGTGCTTTATATTTTGCTGTATGCATTTTCTTTAATTATATTCAATTACAACAGAGAAGTATGTGAAACTGAAAGAAATTCAGAGCATTACTTCCTACATTTTGAGAATTGGCCTTATATAAGATAAAAATATCAGATTGAGTTCTAGGAGCTCAAATTCAGTACCTGGATTGTCAGAACCATACTTTGAACTTTGAACTTCTTGTTTACGGATCTCATTTATGGTTGTACTTGTTATCAAAAATTCCAAGAAAGGAACATACAATCTTTTTGATGTGTCCTTAATTCTTCAAACAGGAACTTCAAACGTGAATTTCAGTTGTTTCAACAGCACAATAGTATATCAAATCTTAGTTTACTATTGTGATTTAAAAAAAAAAAAAAAAAGTGAATGGATTAAATTTCCTGTGTTATTAGCATTAAATCTTCCCTTTTAAGCTATTATCTCCAAAGGTTTTGAAAAATGTATTTTTAAAGTTGAGTCTACAATATTTGGTTCTGTTCATTATTATGTAAATGTTAGCTAGACTTTCTATTTTACAAGAGGTAGAAAGCACAACTTTAGCATGTCCTGCTTAAATGTTCAATTTCTCCTTGGGTTGAGAGAACAAGATTACCATTTTTTTTAAAGGGGGAAAAAAAGACCTTTCAAAAATCAGGCAGTATCAAAGAATAGGAAACCAGAAGCAGAAAAAAAAAAAATCTGAATAGGATTGGTGAAGAGCTGTTTTGGAAATATCAGTGTCTAGATTGGGTGCTGTTCGGTTGTCTGGGGGCAATGGATCAGCATAGAAGGATTTAAAACTGTGCAGCATTCCACGTATAGATTAAAAGTAAACATTGCTGTTCCAGGATCCAACTAACGAAAGTAAACTCGCCTGGAAAGCAACTGTCTTTTTTCTGCCCAACCCCATTCATCATGATACAGTTTTACATTATAGAGGTTCTGGTTGATTTGTGTTGTGGCAGACAATTGCATTTAAATGCTGTTTAGAATCAGGTCAACACTATATTCACACTACAGAAACTTAGGAGGTGGCAATTCAGCTGTCTGCAAAATAAAAAGTAGGAATGTATTTTCTCAACTCTATTTGTTGCATAGGATAGAGGAGTTTCAAGAACAAAAATGTCTATAGGTAAGCAATAACTGTTGTTAAATGAGTAAGATTTATGTTTCTAAAGTGGTCTTTATTCTTAAAGCCAGTGACTGCAAAAAATTACTCTCAAAGGTAGACACTTCAAACAGTACCCTTGTTCACTTTGGATTCTCATTTTTGTTGGGCTTTTTTTTTTTTTCATTCCTAATGTAGTTTCCTTTGTCTTCTCTCATTTTAATCTAGGTTTGCATGGCAGATCTTTTTTTTTTATTTTTGCACAATTGTCTTACAGCTTAGGGCAGTACCAAAAACAAGTTTTCTTGGGCCATCAAATACAATTAAAACTTTAATTTGATCTGTACGTATACTTATATGAAATACTTCTATCTGCATTTGGTATTGTGACCAAACTAGAAGGTGGCTGATGTGACACATCAATGTCACTTTATTACTTACACAACAGAACTCACCTTGTAGATATGTATTTTATCTATTCTTCAGACACTTCATTTAAAAGTCATTATTACACTTCATTAGATCATACTTAAAATGGCTGGTTGCTTTTGAAAATTTTCTGTGCTTTCTCCTTGGCGTATTTCACATGCTGTGTTGTGTCAGTGTGCACAAAAGAGGCTTCTAAGAGTGGAGAATTTCCTAGGGATATTGACCTCAGAACAAATATACTGCCCTAAAGTGTTATGTTCCCAGATATTTGATATTCTATTTAAAGTTCAGTTCTCCTGCTTTGTTTGAAGATAAGGCCGACTAACTGTGGAAGATACATGTCTTGTGGGAAGATACATGTCATGTGGGTGCCTACTTGATTGAGGCAGGGTAGCCATAATCTTGAGAAAATGAAATCCACTGGGACTTACTGGGCTTTGAAAGGATCCTTTCAGTCTAACAGGTAGAAATATATCAGGTCAAAAAAAGAGTGACTTGAAGTCTCCCTTCTTTAAACAGATGAATTCTCTGCCTGTAATAAGATGACTCAGCACAACTCAGCAGCAATACAAACTGCTGCTAATATGTTGTTAGACTGTTTGTTATTATTTAATCCAGCAGGTGCCTCAGCACCAGTCTTTTGCTCACTCCCCCCACTTCCCCATGGGATGGGAGAGAGAATTAAAAAAAAAAAAAAGAAAAAAGCAGAACTTGTGGGTTAAGATGAAAGTATTTACTAAGATAGAAAAAAGGAAAAAGATAGTAATTATGATATACATATATACACACATAAATACGTGTGTGTGTGTGTGTGTGTGTATACACACACATATATACATAGACTTATATGTATATGTCTTCCACTTCTTCCACTTGATGTCATATGATACAAAATATCCCTTTGGCCAGTTTAAGTCAGCTGTCCTAATTCTGTTCCCTCCCAGATCCTTGGGCTCTTGACTGAGAACTGCCTTGGCTCTATACAGCGCTGCTTAGCAGTGACTATAAACATTGGTGTGTTATCAAGAATGTTTTTCTTTTAGAACCAAAACAACATCATACCAGACACTCTGAGGAAAACAGTTCCATCCCAGCTGAAACTAACACTGTTTCTAACTATACAGGGAGGGGTGAGAATCAAGCAGTACTCCTGAATGTAGGTTTGTCACTACCTTTTTCTTTCTCCTCGGTTTAACCTCCCATCTCTTGAACACTGCTGCCTCTTAATCATCCTCCCATTTCTAGGCAAAAAGTAGTCACTGTTATGTAGGGAATATCAGGGTGAATCATGGTTACTACCTCCCTGTCTAGGTAACTGGAAATAAAGAGCTCAAGGCAATCTATTGACTTATTCAAGGCCTGTGGTTAAAGTGTGGACTTGCAATGTTTTTGCTGGCTGTGGAACAAAACTTGGTTTCTGTGGGTTTGCTGGCCTGCCAGGTCTGAGCTGTATGAGTTAAAGCAGAAGCAGTCTTTGTTGTTGGCAGCAACTTGGAGTAGGAACTTGAAAAAAATTGAACAATACAAAGACTGATAGGGTTAGCCTGTGCTTTTGACATGAAGGAAGGGAAGGAAGATGCAGTTTTGTTTCTAAAAGGTAATGTGCCAGTGTATATTTCAAATATTTTTTGAGGAAATGCCTGAAGAAATAGAAATAGATGTGATTTTTGCACGGTGATTTCTATTATTCCTTGTGGAGGATCTACTCCACAAATGCTGGTTTGCCATTATTCGCAGCTTGTAGCGCTCAAACCAGGTACACACAAATGTGGAAATCAAAACGTGTTCTGCCTGCGTAGTGCTTTGAGTAGTGTGCATATAAAACTAAGCCATATGAACAAAAGCTTATGCAAGCTAATTCCCATTTTATTGTTAGAAACCAAGAAACAATTGTTGCATAATGCAGAACACTCTTTAAATGGGGAAATAATGAATTTGTAGTGAATACAGTCTGGGGTGCTGTATCGCTATACCTTAAACAGCTTAATGTCAGTTGTGCTTTCCCTCGTGCTTCATTCCCCTTGCTATCAGGTCCTTCTTGTTCCAGAGTCCTTTTTTTTAACCAAGAAATTTAAAACAAGTAACCTACCACTACTGCCTTTTGAAAACATGTTGTTTTGTTCCTTCAGCAGGTCTCTTCATTTGTCTTGCAAATTTCATGGTCACTGTATACATTGAAACATCTAAAGCATAATAGTTTATTCTCTTCTAAGCTATGAAATTGATTTTTTATTTTTATTTTTATTTTTTTTTAGAAATATGCTGCAATACATTTCTAAGAGCCAAATATCAGCAGTTCTGAAAAACAAAATGATGGTCTTCATACAAATGGCAAACTGAAAATCAGTTTTTCACAGGGAGTTCTCTGGCTCATTTACCGCCTTTGCTTTAATTTAAAATACTTTCAGTAGTGCTGTTTTGCTCTTCCCCTGGGGAAAGAAAATGAAGTACTGTTACATATGCAGTATGTAAAAACTTGTACATCAATCAGCTGGCTTTGTAGGCTACTAAATGGACCAGAAAAACTAGTGTTAATCTCCATCTCACTGTGCTATGTTATAGGAAAGGAGCTGCAGCTGTTGAAGAAGGCTTGATTTCAGACACAGACAGCTCAGGCTTACTCCTGGCAGGATGAAGCAGATTCTACATGTGCTTTGAGGGCGGGTGGCTCAAGGTAGCTCCTGCTCTCCCACCAACAAGAGACCCTGCCGACCTGATTCTTTGTGACTCTGCCTGGACACAGCACTATTACCTGCACTGGGACATCACTAGCTCAGCATACCCTCAGGAGTATCTGCCAGTCTACGTAAATGTGAGTACAGAACTGCGAGAGAATTATTAATATTACAGCTGAATCTTAGAGTTAAGTCTTTCTGTTTCTGAAATGGCATCCCTATGTCTTAAATTAGAATACTGGTTTGGAAAGTTGTTTTCTGAGGCTTTTTTTATGCTGGTATGTCTTAGCAAGCCCTGGAGCACTGTTAACCATAGTTTGTGGCAATGCCAAAAGCAGCCTGGTAACAGATACTTATCTATTCTCTTCCATGTAGCTCCTAATAAATTTAAACCAAATGCTACATAAAATCCTGTGAGAACTTTTTTTTATGATATAGAGAACTTATATCAATTTTTTATCAATTTTTGTAGATACAAATAATTTAGCTGTACGCAATTTGTCATTGCACTTACCATCAACTTACCTTTTACAAACGTAAAGCACAATTTTAAGTATCAGAATAAAAAGATGGCACAGAGCTGTATTGTTAATAGTTTTCATAATGAAGCAATATTGATCAGCAATTTTCAAAATAATAAAGCAGTTGTCCTGCAATTTGCTAGTATGGCTACAATGCTGTTCTAGCCTTTGATGTTTCTGCAAATTGACCACCAGAGAGAGCTGTTGCATTTTTTTTTCCCCAACAACTGTTCACAATTATTCTTTCATTAACTTCTAACCAAATGATTAAATTCATTGTGGTATCTGCAGAAAAATCATGTAGTTTATTCCACTCACCAAAGTGTTTTAGTGTCACAGAAGGGCAAACAAAAATACCGAACAAACTATTTCTGTGGATTCCTTTAGCATTTAAATGCTAAGTTTAAAAAATAAAATAAGATACAAAACACGCCCCCACAGTTAAAACAGTTTCTTGTTACACTATCAGGCTGTGAGGTATGGGAGAAATGCTAGAAATTTCAGAGCTTCTAGAGAGACTTTACAGCCCTGGGGAGGAGGTGCAGCACTAATTCCGACTCTGCTAGGCAAGAGAGGAATGTCTGGTGACTGCATAGCAGAAAGAAGATGCACAATGCACTGGCAGCCATGATATAACGTAGAAACCTGTTTTACTTCATTGCAAACAAATGGACAATATATATTGTACAATATATAATAAAAATACAGCCAATACAAGTGCCACTAGTTAACAGAAAGAACTAATGTTAAGACTTAAAAATGCTCATTTTTGTAATATATACACTGCAGTAATAAGCCACAATAAATACATCAAATTCCATATCATTCATAATAAATACTGAAAATATAAATACAGAAGAATACAGTTAATTTGAATAAATTATTACAACATAAGGTCAAGATTAAGTTCTGTTGAATATTATTGTAGCTTATATTACCCTTTGGCATCTTTGATGTTACAACTTATTTAAGAAAGAGAAGAAACTAATTAAGGAAATGTGTAATTCATGAAGCTTTAAATTATTTCCATGTACAGATTTTAAGATGAAATTTCCTTTGCTTCTTCGAACAGTTTAAAAGCAGCAGTTCATTTCTGTATGTTGCCTTACTGTTGAGATCAACATAATTTTAGTATGCAAGATCATCTGTAATGGAAAATGTTGATTACTTAACATAATCACTTTTCTCAAAACTTAGTGAAGTTGGATGTAATGTACAAATTTTAAACAAATGGCTGCAATTACACCGCAGTTTTAGTCCTACCGGAATAAATTACGTCTGAAAGACTATCAACTTTTGAATCTGTGCTGTGGTGCATTATTTACCACTTGCTCCAAACTCCCAAAATTTCCAAAGTAGTTTTATATTTATATGGGAAATATATATATTTTTACATATGCAGAAACAGGAATCTCTTAAAAAAAACAACCAAAAAACAACCAAAAAAACCCCCAAAACCAACAAACAACAAAAAAACCAAAAACCTAGGGTTGGAACACACAGTGTAGGTTGCCATAGATCATATTTTTTAAAACAGAGAAAACACTTTAAACATAAAAATGTAATTATATATATAACAAAATTTTAACTACTAGCTGTAGGTGGAAAATCAAAATAACATAAACCGCCATGTTATTAACCAGTTATGTTATTAACCAGTACATCTGTATTAATGTTATGTGCAAAAAGTTATTACACCAGAATGCAATTTAACTTAAAAGCTTGACTTGACTAAGACACTACTACAGGCTGAGGCTCTCAGTAAAGAACTTGTAACATACAGATTTTAACTATTTTTGCACTGTTAAAAGTCTAGTGCTTATTTTACATCAAACACTTTTAAAAACATGTTTTACAAACTACACTTCAGACATATTTCCATAGAAGTGCCTACATCAGTCAATTAAAAGAAGGACCCCGTTGTTAAACATCATTTATATGGGCATTGTTATGTGAAAGCTCATGTGGTGGTATTTGTTTTAGAAATAGAATGTGTTGGGTTTTGTTTTTTTTTTTTTTTTAATAGAAAAATAGCACACTGCCTTCTGTTTTTTAAAAGAACTAGCTGCCAGTGCACATAATGTTGCAATCTTTTCAAGAAGCTAAAACCCTATGCTCAGCATGCCTATCAGAAACTGCTAAATGGGTGGCTGTTTTACCCCAGTACCCCAGCAAGGTACTTCACCTACAATTCAAACTTGAAATTTCATTTTTAAGTAAAGATCCACCTTTAAAAAAAGTTTCAAGTATAGAAGTCTAGAAGAATTAGCTGCCATAATGTACTAAATCTCATTAAAAACCCCCAAGCTAAAATGCTAATACAAAGGACACCTATTTCTTTTTTGCTTTTAGTGTCTGTTATTATCTGATGTTATAGTAGAGCACAGGCCTGGGAGTTAATTCAGTGATACTGAGTAAGACTTTGCGGTTAATGTATACAAAGAAAAGACAAGGTAGCATTGCTTCAAGGTAAAAACTTGTTTTTACCCTGTGCTTTTGGATGAGTGTTATTTAATGTTTGCCCACATATAACTGCTGTTGCAAATCAACATTTCTTCTTTGCAGGAAGTTCATAATGATTTTAAGATATTTCAAGCAACAGAATTCATTTTATGAGCTAACATGACCAAACATGTAGTGCACAGGCATATGCTTTCCCATCCTTGCTCTGGGGATATCTTCATTTCATATTTTCTGTATTTTTTTTTCTCCTATATCTTGTTCTCTTTTGCCCTTTAGAAAAAAAAATAAAAATGTCCTTATCAGTATATCTCTTACCTTCTTACCTCTTTTCCTCTAGATTGACCTTTCTGTCTTCCCCTCACTCACACCAGGGTATATCTGCCCATGCCTCAAGACAAAGGATTATCTTGACCCTTGTCGTATAACAGTGGTGTTACTTTGTACTTTCCACCATTTTTCCTGCCAGTATAGGAAAGCTAATTCAGTTATAATCCGGTTCATGGCTTATTGCAAATGGGCACAGTTAGAGATGAACTACATGTAAGGCAAATTTATTTGACCTCGTTTCTGTTCTTCTCAAAATTCATAAAATACCTCAAGAAAACTGAAGTGTAACAATGAAGATTCAAATGATAGTGATTTAATAAGTAAAAGGAGTTGTGCTAAACCTGGGTGAAGGATTATCATCTTCTTAACTGAGAATAAATACGGAGGACAGTGAACTTGGTTCTCCAGGCAGTGAGACCTTGTGCGTACTGGGTGTCCTCCTAACCACAGAGAATATACAACAGTAGAGCAGTACTCATCTCTTTTTTTTTCCCCGCTATAAAGGTGACTCAGTTTTTGTAAAAGGGTACTTTTCATTCATTGTTTATATTAAGAAAAACAAACTGCAAGTGTAGTTTGAAGAAAAACCTTTCTTTCCTTAGCTGATGTTTTTTCTGCTTTCCATAATCTCTCTTTATTTCTCTCTATATTTCTCTTGTACTAGGCTGTGCCATATGAAACATGACACCCTTCCTCTGGATCTACAGGCATCAGGAGATAAGAGGATCCCCTTCAACGTCTGCAGCCCATGGGGGTAGGTCTCCTTCCTGTTTGTTTGTGGGTGCAGCAAAGGAAAGCCTATAGAGAGACCCTATGGGTTCCATTCCTGATTACTGTTTATTCAGAGCCAGTGAGGGAGATGACATTTTTTTTACCACAGTTCTAATTTGTCTTCGTGCAAATGTTAAGTGAAAAATAAAATCAACTCTTCTTCCAGGATAAAGGACAGATAGCACAGAGGACACTAGTGTTGCACTTATATAAAGTTGTTTGTAATGAAAAGCCTTACTGTTAAACAAACTTTTTCCCAGACACTTAAGATTCAGGAAGGAAGGAAGAAAAAAAATGAGAAGACTAAGACTGGAAAACGTTGAGATATTTCATGAATCAGATGTTCTTATTGTAAGTAAAATTTTCTATATCAGCCATTAGCATGGCAGAAAGTTTTCAAGGTTGTTACAGCTGTTCTCTTTCTTAAGAACTATACTCTGAAATATTTATTATCAACCAAATTAAAAGCTGCCTCTGATGTAGGAGGAAGAAGAGACAGCAAAAAGGAAGCAATTATGAAGCACTTGAACATTTGTTCCTTCGGACATTTTTACAGCTAAACACCACTTATTTATCACTTCATAAGGTTTGTACTTTGGATTGCATGCCACTTGGAGAAAGCGGACAGTTATTAGTACATAAATACTGATTACTGAGAACAGCAAAATTAAGGTATACTTTTAAAAAGAAATATTAAAAATTAAGAATTATGTTGAGATTTCTCATGCCAATGAGTATATTAATGAACTCAATTCTTTGTGTGCATGCGTTTTGAAAATAACAGTAGCTTTCAACTATTGTAAAAAAATAGGGATCAGATTTAATATTTTAGAAATAAATTCTATAGAATATATTCTCTGAGTTAATTCTAGTTTTTCTAAGTATTTTACAACAAATGCTTTGTGACTGTGGTAAAGTAGGTGACAGAATTAGTCTTTAGTCCCAGTAGGAAAGCATAACACCCCTAAACACTAGAGGATTTCTGGTTTCATTCTCTTCTGTGCCTTTTCCTGATTGCCTCAAGAAAATAAACTAGCACAAAGCACTTGAGTTCACACAACTCATGAGTTAAAACACAGGAGTTTCTTGTTTAGCAAATGCCTTTAAAACAGTATTGTGGCTCCAACTGTCTCTTTTGCTTTAGCTCAGAGTGAGGGTACCTACTATGCCACAGGAGTAGCCCTGGCAAGGAGTTTCAACTGACAGAACTCAACTAGCGAAAGAAGATAAGCGGAGGAATAAGACTGCCTGTAGCTGGTGTCATTGGCAAACTAAAATCTTGCTGCTCAACAGGTAAATCAAGCTTTTTTTTCTAATTTTCACATTTTTCACTGCGGAATTTGTCATTCTATGTTTGCTTATTAATGTTGTCCATAAAAGAAGACCTTGCTTTTTTTGTGTTTCACGTTGATGATGAAATCTGTACTTCTGAGCTAAACTAGAATTTATTGGGAAAGTGACTTAGTTTGCAGAAATATAGTTATGATGCCAAAAAAAAGGAGGAAAAATGTTATCCTGGCTGTTGTCTTGAAAGTTTTTAATCACAGCATCTCCAAGTACCTTGCAAACCAGAGTCAGAGTCACTTCCAAGTAACAGAGCAGAACAAAGGTAAAGCCAAAGGTACCCAGGTATCCTCTGTATTAGCCTGGTACTCTGCCCGGTATTTCACATTTCTATCAAAGAATTAAGAACATTTAAGAACATTCAAAAACATGCCATGTTTTGTATGTGAATGTATGTTCTCAATTTTTAAGAAACAATTTGTCTTTAGTGAAGGCATCCTCTAGGTAGATGTGGGGCAGGAGACGTCTACATGGTTGATTTAATAGCACATTTACTGAAATACGGTGCTCAGATAAGGTTAGAAACTGGTTCTGGATTTATTAGCAATCCAGTGAGCAACAACATCATGAGTATTACCTGCATTTTCTGTACAACTTATAAAAAGGCAAGATACCATTGTTAACACTGTTAACTCATCACGTAACAAAGAGGTGAGCTGGGCTGAACCACATTTACAGCAAGTGATAGTAATCAATGGCCTTAAAAGACAGCAATGACAACTCAAACGATTCACTAGCAACAATTTATGTAACTGTAAAACAGTAAAACTTCACTAAGTTAAAATTTTCCTATTGAAATGGTATACAGCTGATTAAAGAAAAAAAAAAACTTAAAAGGAAAAAAAAAAGATCAGAAAGATTTACTGACCAACTTTTTATTTTTTTTTTTTTAAGGATGTTTCAATGGGTATGAATTGAATTAAAGCCCTTAGGAAAAAAAGATACTGCACTTTTGCCAGAAAAGTGCCAACTTTAACATCTGTTAAAGCTTTATAAACTTTAACAATGCTTTTTTTCCAAGACGGGCAAAGTTCACATTAGGAGCAAAAAGGCATTCAGTTTTATGTGGTGTTCTATTAATTTTCTGTGTAAAAATCCGATTTGAACGGAGGGGGAATTGCTTTTGTTATTACGAAATTTTCTGAGCTACCTAACACAATCATAAATGATCTGCCCGTTTATTATCTGGCTTCTTACAAGTGCTTATCAGTAGCAAAATGTGTTAGGAGAAAAAGCTGATACAGCTATCAGTAAAGTAAACATTTCCAAAAACGATAAGCCATGTCTATACAGAAGCAAATACTGCCATTTATCATTTAATAATATAATACTTTTAGCACATAGAAATAGGTTTGCCCCAAATGATAGGACTGTTTACCAGTATTAACTAACTGGAAAATGAGATGCATCATATGCATACGTTAGCCCAGAATGTAAGACTGAAACATTCTTCAGCTCATGATTTAAGTTTATTTTTGCTTCTATGAAGATTTCTTTGGTCTTCTAAGCAAAATATGAACAAGTCTGATAGGAGTAGGAATCTTGGCTCTGAGCTGATTTCTACAGCTAACTCAGGAGTTATAAACTGGAGCATCTGTTCTGGGCAGGGCTGTGGAATTAGCTACTTTTAAGCAAGGGCAAATACTGTAGCAAGCATTCCTTGGCATATTCACTCCTGCCTGCATGCTGTCTTTAAGCTCCTTGTTACCCTGTGCTGTACACTATTGAGAATTTAGCTATGTTCACCCCGTGCCCCCACAGCACATGCATCAAAGTGTATGGTATATACATCTAAGTACTCAGAAATTTACAGAGGAGGCCTTTGCTCTGACAACAGTGCCAAGAGAAATACAAAGAAACTATTGTCTCAGAATGTTAAAGCGAACTTTTATAAAGTTAATCGCTTACTGTGCTTGCTAATGTTATTAAAGGTATTTTTCATTTGGAAGCATAGGGGCCAAGAAAATAATCTCTTATTGCTCAGTAAGGGGGTGAATAATGAAACAAAAATATTTAATTTAACTTTCCCCTGAGTAATACCCTGGTAAAGTATGCATGATGCTCCAGTAGTCAACACACTCTGAACTTAAAATGCTGCTACTGATTCACAATTGTTCTCCCAGCTCAGGAAGGGATTTGTGCTTTTGATGCTGGTGTTGTGAGACTGCCTAATTTAAGCCTGCTGTTTGTGCAAGATCCCTGTATATGGAGACTTGTAACATTTGCTGTAGAATATCTGGACAGAGTAACACTACTCTTATTTTTTCATGCAGAACCTTTTATGAACTAAGGTTTTCTCCTTAGAGATGGGTATTTGCTGTTTGGAAGTGGAGAACACATGCATTTACCTGGCTACTCAGCCTGTACAGAAATAGAGTGACTAAGAGCAGCAGGGCTTAAGAAGCTGCTGAGGCAGTTGATCAACATGACTGCATGTTCCCAGACCATGGAGTATGCTGTAAATACGGAATATCCATTCCAAGGAGAACTAGCACTTTCTGATGCAATTTGAGAAAGATAAAACGTGTAGGACTTGTGGAAACAAAAAAAAAACCTTTCCAGTGAGTATGTGGAGTAAAAATATTTTGCTAATTTAGCGTAGAAAATCAGAAAATGCTGATCTCAGTAAATGAGATGCCCAGATCTCACTAAAATAATTAAGTTTATTTTTTAAAAAGCACATTTTAGATCGGGAAATTATTCTACTGAAGCACTTTATGTGATGTTGTAAAGAGCTGCTAACCAGTCACTGTCACAGAGCTAAAGTTGATAGTCTGTTTACATGCTTACAGCTAACCATGGAGATTTGACAGATGAAAATAAGATGGTGATCCTTATTTTGGCAAACAAAACAGGTCTTCACAGCAGCTATATTTGATGTATGATAATATTTCATTATTAGAACAAAATTAAAATGGCTTCTGAAATCAAAGTCTGCTGAGAACTACCAGCGTACAGAAAAGCGGGCTCTAGTACACTTCCTTTTCTTGAAGAAAGCAATGTCTGCTCATAAGGTAAAGCAGGCATTTTAATTTCCATTTATTTTTAGAATAACTGGAGTACAAAGTAATGGAAATCCATATGGTGTATGCGCTATTCTGCGTGCAGACTTCAGCGATGTAAAATCTCTGTAGCTGTGTTTTGTCATTGACTATACTGATCCTTATTTAGATCAAGTAATGCAAGGGACGGTCTACAGTCCGCAAAATCCTTTGTATTTCATAAAAACTGCTAAATAGTTAGGAAAATCTAGACCCTTCCACATTACTTTCCATGCTTCATTTAAACTGTGATCAACAAGACTTTTGCTTGTTAGTTGGTTTTTGTTTTTCAAGTATTTACTGACTGACTGACTTATTGATATACTGGCTTAGTTTTGCTGCAATGGACTTTAAGATCTTACATATACCTCAGAGTCTGGAGCTATGGCATTTCTCCAAAATAGTTCACAGTTTCTGCAGTTGAAACATCACTGCAAAATGGCACTAAAGTGCATAAGTAAGTATCTGAATGTTTGCTGGGCTAAAAGGTGCTGTGCAAGCTTAAGTTACTGCTTTGCCATTATATACAAGATCGTTTTTCTTTGGGAAGGGGTGCTAGTTCTAGAAATACCACTAATTTTGATGGAGGATTGTCTACCTTTCACCTTCCTATAAGATGCACATGCCCCCCTTTCTGACTCTTCTGTTGGTCAAGAACAGTAAAAAGAAAGAGAAAATAGTACTCTAAAAATGCATTTTAAGTTAATTTATCAGAAATGGTATTTAAAAAATACATGGTACTCCAGATGAAAATTGGTCATGCTCTTTCTTACTAACTATGGATCTTCTGTTCAAATGAACACGCTGTTCATTTTTATCAAAACATGAATACTAAGCTACTATAAATAAAATACATACAGTACAGAACAATTAAAACTTTTTTTTGTACAGTAATTACTTTTACATTAAAGTTATGTTCTTTCAAATACGTTGAAAATCAGGACTTTAAACATGATTATTTCAAACTATCATTTTTAACAATCTTGCACAGGCCCGACAATCAAAAACTTGAAGCTTTGATTCGGATAGCTTGGCATGTTTCACATATTTGACAGGTAGGCTACTTTGAAATATGTTAGATGTGGTTTTTTACTTACGTGTTTTACTTTTATCAAAGACAGTCTGACGTTGGTTTGCTTTTTTTAATCTTTACACGAACTGATTCTGTGCAGTGCCTCTGGCAATGTAGCTTGAAGGTGTGTCTGGAACATTGACTATAGCCCAAGTGTTGTCTACCTCTTAAAAAAAAAAAGTTAAGATTCTAGGAAATCCAATTTGAGTGCATTTTATTACATGAAGTCAGTCTTAGAATAATTTTAATATTAAACAGGTACTGTTTCTACCACTGGTGATTTGATGCACTCTTCGTGCAGTCTACTCTTTTCTGAGAGGACTAGTGAATTCTCAGCAGGGTGCTCTTGTACACCACTCTCGCCATTCAAAGCTGAAACAAATCCATCTTGAGAAGGACCTTTCAAGAATGAGTGAAATTCCACTTGAGAGTGACTTGGCCTATGCTCAGTGTATAAACTGTTACACGGAGCACTGCTATCACCTTCAGAAGATGAGCAGCAGACAATCACTGAGGGGTTTGCAGAAGGGTAATGAGGGCTGCTAAAAGTTTCCTCTGATTGCCGAGTGTAGTCAACAAACTGTTCTGAAGTCATGCTGTAAGGCACCAGAGAAAGATTGCCATTCTTGACAGCATCCCTTTCTGAGTAAGTCTCACCAATCTGGTTAGCAGTGCCAGCAACATGGTTCTCTATTTGGTAATATAGATTTGAAGAGTTAGTATAGTATGAGGCATTTTTAGAGTGGTTTTCATGCACAGCAGTTCCATCAGAGTAGCAAAGGACAGAAGGAAGAGGCACCATGTCAGCATGGGAGCTCATACTTTCTACAAAGTCATCTGCTTTTTCTTCCTCATCATCTTCCTCATCTTCCTCTTCCTCTTCATCATCATCTGATTCACTAGGGGCTAAACTCTGAGTGCTAGAATCAGTAACTCCACTACAAAAGCTACTCCCATCTTCCTCTTCCTCCTCTTCCCCAGGGCAGTCCAAGTCCTCGGCTGACTGAGAATGCATAACTGCAGCCTGAGGTTCAGTTTCAATCTCAAAATTTTCTGCAATTGAATATTCGACCGGATGGGGTCCTGGACTCATAGAACTAGTATGTGCACTTATCTCGCTGTGGCAGCCATTTAGTGATGGAATTTGCTGTTCTCTATTTTTCTCCAATTCAAGTTTCATTATTGTGTGCAAAAAGTGAGTCCGTACACGGATAGGATTAAATTCAATTCTACCTGCTGTATTGCTACACCCTTCTTTAGTGCAACCGCATGGAAAAGACATACGATCCACCTTTTGAAAAAGAGAATACAGATTAACGATACTTAACATAAACCTGGTTATATCACAGAACCTAGAAAGCCAAAAAATAGAAGTGAAGTGGGATTCAATTGAGAAGTACTTTAAGAATAAGCTATGTCAAATATCCATATGTCTCATAGTGTCCATTTTAAGTATATAAAAGTGTGACTGAATCCACAAATCAAATAGTTCTATTAGACAGCTTAAGGTCTATAATTTTTATCTACTCTATACCTAAACATCAAATGTGATGCAGAAGAGAGCCATCTGAAACAATCAATTAGTACATCTTCCCAAAATGTGAAGATGATGAAAACAGGAGCAGCAAAGGGAATGTATTATTTAGAATAGCAGAGAAAATTTAGCAGGGATTTAAGAAATGATGCAAAAAATGCGTTTAGAAAGAAACCAACTCAGCTGCGTAACAGCTACTTGTGGTAATTAGCAGAAACCATCTTTTGGGAGTTCCTATTTTGGGACATTTACAGCTATATGTACAATATGCGATACCATTAAATCTGCAGAGAGAAAAACTACCTGCTATATTTTGTTGCCTGCATGCAGTTTTTCATGCTTGCATGTTAAGTATCATGCATGTTAAAGAAGGGACAGTACCGCAGTTTGACTTACTACTTCTCACTGAGTTTGGACTATAATTCACATTTGGACAGTATGTGAATTGTCTCTAAAACAAAAGCTACATACCCTTGTGAAATCTGCAGGCTACTGATTCTTCTGTTTCCATTTGCATGTTTAGATAAAGGCCAAAGGGGAACACGAGGAGGAAAATATGTATGAACAAAACCAAAAATACTGAACAGTGTATATGCCTAAACTGATCATAAAATAAAGATGTTTAAGGAGAAAAATTGTATTGCACATTACATGCTCTTAAATCCGAGCCTTAAACTAGTTTAAGATCCACAAGTTACTGTTTAATAATTCACTCACTTAATAATCTTTCAGTACTTACCACCTTAACAAAAAAGTGCATGCACACACACCCCTACAGCCCCTTCCCTTGCTAGTTAAATAATGACAATAATGTAGACATTTACCTGACATTTTATGCCTGCAAGACTGCAAGTGCAAGTTTCTGGATCACAAAACACACGGCAGTCACAGCCACAATCCTCTCTGGACAGCCGGATGGCCCGCAACTCATGTTTTTCTTCCACATCAATCTTCTTCACTCCAGAGGCTCGTAGCAGTGCCCTTCGCTTTTTTGTTGGCAGGGGTTGTAGAAAGAAATACTCATCCACTTCAGTGTTGTCCAGATCAATATCATCATCAGAAATGTCATCCAGTGTCAGCGTATTAGCCTCTTCAGATTCCACTGTACCGTTCTTTGTCATCTGTTATACAGAACAATTAACAAAGTGCTGTACGTAAGGAAACAAATCAATTACATCTTCTAGCTATATATGCATCTTCTATCTAACAATGCAGTCCTGAATCTCACCTTTACCACTCTTGCTGCTTTTATTAGGTTCTCAACTGTGTTAGCATTTTTCATTTCCCATTTATATTACAAAATCTTTTTGATTCTGTCATTTTATAGCATAATTGAATTACTCCATGGTGAACTCCTACAGATGGCCTATTTCTTTTGTAATTGCAGTTTTGTGTTTATATTAACTGTATAAGACAATCATAGAAGAAAATGCTAATTATTTCCAACCTGTACTGTCAGGTGATACTCATCCCCGTCAGATGGGAGGAGCCTCAGTATTCAGACTGCAATGCTTATACAGTGTACTAGCACGTACATGTTACACAAGGAGAATCTTCCCAGATCAGTAATCATCCCTTCTTAGCAATCCAGCGCCATATTTGTTTAACACAGGAGTGTTCTACCTTTACAGGCATTATTGTTTCTTTGCAGTATATTCTTACTCTTTTTCTGTCAGTGCAGCCTTCAGAGCTTAGTGCTTTCAATTCATCTTTAATGTTACTTACCGTGTCTGTTATCCCTAGTTTTACATGCATATACATTCATCTTTTACTTTATCTGAAATGTCCTCTCAAACTACCTTTATGTTGTTTGCTCACTCTATTTCCTATTAATCACTTTGTTTTACAGTGACCAGGTACCCTACATGAAGCACTTCAACATATTAGTTCAGCAAGGTAGAATAAACAACATTAAAAGTCTTTTTCTGTATTCTTTACAGTGAGAGACAAGTAAATGCATAGAAAAGTTCAGAGCATCTTCAATCAGCTATCTGATGGCAGTGGGGGGCAATTTCCCTCAGTACATGCAACTCAGGCTGAACATCCAGATGGTAGCCTTAATCATTTTTATTCTTCATTTTCTGTTACCTGGATACTACTAAATAGCTTCTATTATGTTGCTTTGGTCTTCTTTTTGCATTTAATAGAAAAATGACTTCTAATTTCTCCATTTTCAGATATACACAGTTCAAACAAGTCCTTAAGCAGATCACTGTTATTTAATAGTTTGTCATGATTTACATTTGAAACTATGGAAGACTTCCTGCTTTGGTAATTATTTTTGACATGATCATCAGCTCTTACTGATGAGGTAAATACTTTAACCGCTCAGCTTACAAAAGGCACCTACACAATCATGCCCAGCCTGTCGCATATTTCTCCCCTTCCTGCAAAGCTTAATAGCTTATAGCTTTGCTAAGTAGTGATCGAGCATTAAGGAGTGAATTCTAGTCAGGTGCTGTAGGCGTCCTGCGGACTGCAAAGTCACAGGCATCAAGTGAGATTAGACAGCAAACTGTAATTTCAAAGAACCTCAGCTCCTTTTCACTCCCTTGCTGGATGACTCCCTTGTATTCTCTGATTTTTTTTTTCTCCATTTTGTGACGCAAAGAACAAATGAATTAATGAAACTGAAAGCTTTGAACATTTCTCAAACAATTAACTGGTTAAGATGGAAGATTAGTAAGAACCATCAAATATATTTTTCTATTCAAAACCTCAGGACAGCATTGTGTTTTCTTGTTGTTGTAACACATTCGAATATATGCAGATGGGTAACATTTTCCTCATAAAGCTAAAGGTTAATTCATAACAACAGGCTATAGCTGATGAACACATGAAGAGTTTGCATGAAAATCCCTTCAACTTCGCAAAAAGGTGACAAATTTGGGTTGGATACCTTTGCCTGTCCGAGCTGGAAGTTCTCTTTTACATTTCACACAAAAGAAACCAACACGCATAATAGATTTTTAGTTTCTCGTACAGTTCACTGTAGAAAAATTGAACTGTTATAATTTCATATCATACCACTACTGGCCTCCATTTGTACTGTCCAGCTACATGAATCGAGTAAGCTAAAGATGTCTGCAAGCTCCTAGACAGAACTGGAAAACTGAAAACTGAATATTCTGCCTTAATACTAAAACAAATTTACCAATTATTGATAATTTCATGACCAGCTTGCATGAATTCAGTTAAGTCACATATTTATCTAATGCAGTTAATGTACTGCGAGTTTCCTTTCTTTGAAATTGTTAAGCATATATGCATGTGAAAACATGCACCATCATCACATTTAGGTTTCATAAGATTACCTAGCTTACAGAAAATTGCAAAATAGCAGATTTCTCATAGCAACTACCTAACATTTTACCATTCCTCAGTGATACTTCTCAGGCACATTCCCTAACACCCGACAGATGGAAATAGGGCTAGAACATTATTTACAAAAGACAAACCCACATCCTTTTCCATTTGCATTTGTCTTGCTTTCAAAATAAGTACAATCTGTGCTGATTTATCCATTGGTCTGCAGACTCAGGGGCTTTAACATCACTCGGGGTCGTGCAAACAATTTTAAAATACCTGAATCTGAAGAGACTTTATAAATAAGCAATAAAGAGTACTGTAGCTAACCTGTTGTGTTAACTCATACCGTTTCTCAAATGACAGTGCATTTAAAGTAAAGCCTACCTTGTACCTTTCATCTCAACAAGATGGCTTTTATGCTCAGATTGCCATTAAAACTTTCACACTCGGCTGCTAACAGTGTTTATGCCACTGTCAGCAGTGCTTACATCAAAGAGCTGCTTTACATGACTATAGTGATTTCAAGATGACTGTAGTCTTTATCATCTGCTTTTAATCAACTGAAATTTCTTATTTGGCTCCTCACTTTTAGCAAGTAAAAATAATGAACAGTACCTAACATTACAAACACACAATTCCAAAATATTCATTTTTTTTTTTCTTTCTTTAAACAAGTTGTACAAAAGACAGTGTGTTCTACCTTGCATATTTTAATCCAATGGGAAAAATTAATCAGGGAAGCTGAAATTTAAGAACAGAACCACAGAAAATACTACTTTCTGTTTGCACAATCATTCTAATCAGTCCATCAATCAATCTAATCAATCAGAACAACTTTGCCTTCCTTCAGTTTCTTATTTTCTTCATTTTTCTGTGCAGATATGCAGTACTTTATACCCAACCACTGATTGATCACCTTAGAAAAATCTACAGCCTTTCCTTCCTGCATTTATTTAGAAACCAAGTGAACAGCAAAACAGTTCTTCCTGGAAGTCAGCCAAGGGATCTACTCAGAGACACAGCTCACTTCCCACCTGATGCTCTGAAGATCCTGTGACGTCTAGAGCTATAATCTCTAAATAGCAATAAATCATTAACTCCAGCCTTTTTTTTTCCAGCCTGTCAAAATGTCCATCTTTTATTTGCCTCTGTCGTGCGTGGTTTTATGTTTGTGAGGCTTTTTTCATAAAAACATTCAATTATTATCAATTATATAAGAATCTGTTTTTCTATTCAAATTAAAACAATAGGAGACTGAATAAAAAATAATTGTAGCAGTAAGGGTCATATGCACTGCTTCAGGTATTCAGACAGACAGTTATAAACACCATTCATTCTAGTGGAAAAAGGCAGAGATTTGCGGGTGTTATTTTGCTTTGCACCTACATAGTCGTATCTGTCAAAGCACAAGAAATAGGAGCTGTGGAGCCCAGCAGATCAGCCACAGTTCAACTTTGTTCACCCTTAATTACAGAATTCACCTGAAAACACCTGAGGTAACATATGCCATCATACCGGAAGTTTTTCATTCACTAAACAAAATAACAAAACCTGAGATTTTGCGAGCAAATTGAAAGACACAGAAGGGACGCTTCAAAAAAATGGAATTCCCGTCTCTCCTCAACTGCAGTTTCCTTCCTCTACTAAATTAAAAGGACTGCTTCAAAACTACCATCAAGCTGAATTGATAAAGCAAGTTAATTTGTCTGATTTTTATTCCTTACCAGACAACTTTTGGTGAAATACTAAAGACGAATGATTGCATAAATTGGTACACTAAAAACATTTTCTGTATTGCTGTTCCCTATTTTCTGCCAAATATAGTCAAACTGGCAAAGAAAATAAGGTGTTTTGCTTTCTGTACTTAAGATGTTATCATTCCTTTGTCTAAATAGGGCACTCTGCCAGGGCTCAGAGGCAGTTCCAGAGTCTAACTTCAGTCTAAGTTCCAGTGTTCTCTCCACCTTTATCACCTTCTCTGTAAGAAAAGAAGTAAGCAACCACATCCCTGTAAAGCACTTTAAAGCACACATTAGCAAGAGCTACATCAGTGCTTCATAATATCAAAAAAATATGTATCTTCAGCAAAAATAAAATAAAGAATGTAATTTCTCTCACTGAAATCAGAGCTGAAAGTAGTTTTGTTTAAAAGATGCACACTGGGCCCATACAACTCTGACTCTGCTCATGAGAATACATAAGGCAAAGCACAAAGTTAATGAGTTTTACCTTTAATTTTAGAGAATTGAGTTTTTCTTCCCTCAGGTGCTCTCGCAGCATCTCCCGGTGAAGCCTCTCCTGCTCCATCGCAAACTCTCCAAGCGTGTACTGGCGCACACTGTTGTGGCGCGTGGACATTCCCAGCGTGCTTCCCCCTTGGCTCGGAACGCTGGTAAAGCCTTGCCTTCTTGTGAAGTAATACACAGTGACACAGTTAAAATGGACATTTTTTGTTCTCTTCCGCTTCTCTCTCTTCAGGATGGAAGAAGCTGGAACAGATACAGTTTACATTAATGATTACATTAATGATAACTTGCAATCACAGCGAATTTGTCACTTGAGTACTTCTATTTTCCTTAATACGTACACGCTACCATTCAGAGAAGTGCAGTCTAAATGAGGTGCTAAGAGTTGAGAAAATTACCAAACCCTGAAGTCATTACAAACTGCTACAATCATGAACACTATTCTCTACTTTAGAACAGAAATTCTTGTCCAGAATGGCTGTTTTCTAATAGCATTTTGAAAGTTTTATTCTTTTTACTAAGGAAGCAAAGCAAACACATCCCAGAAAAGTAAATTTCTTTTTACACTGCTGCCTCAAAGAGACTGATCTATCAACTGGCACTTCCTTAAACCCCAGCACACAAAACAGACACTGCATATGACAGCAGTCAGGATAGAAGCAGGCCAACAGCTCTCACAGAGCTGTATGCACCACTGGAATGCAAAGCTCCAGCAGAGATTTGCTAGCTCATCTTTAAAGCACTGGATCACATCTGCAGAAAAGATTTCTATCTTTTATACTTTAACGTGTGAAATTCGTGTTAGATAAACTACAAAGGCAGTATTGTTTGTGTTTCAGACTCTCAGAAATTTCTATTATCATAAAATCAGGTCCTTTCTAGAATCATAGAAGCACAGAATGGAACTGGGTGATCTTTATGGTCCCTGCCAGTCCCCTTCCACGGGCAGGGTTGTCACCCACAGTCAGGCTGCCCAGGGCCCCATCCAGGCCAGGCAAGCAGTCCCAGTGCTCATCACCCTCTGAATAAAGAATTTTCCCCTAACATCTAACCTGTATCTCCCTTCTTCAAGGTTAAAACTATTTCCCTTTGGTCCTATCACTATCTATCCATGTAAAATTATTTTCTGATTCCCCTCACGCTCCTGCTGAGTTTTTCTTATACAAACATGCAGTTTCATGTGAAAAGGATTTATTTAAAAATACATGCCCAATTTTAACAGCACTTTTATCTCCTTTCAGTGATATCAATCTATCATTTCTTACTGGTAGCAGTGGTGAGTCTATATTGCAAAGTAAGAGATACAAACAGAGTAGGAGACCCTCCTTGATTTTTAAGACTAACCAGCAGTCTGATTCATTTGATTTATTGCAAAATGACAACAGGTTGTCAAGAAAGTAGATAATAAGTTATTGCTTTGAAGTTCAGAGGCAACAACTGGGTAAGCACAAATGAGCGACTGAGTTGCTGGAACTCAAGCAGTATTTAAAAGGTGCCCGATCATTCCTGAAAGACTTGGAACCATTCCATTAATGCTGTAAGAACAACACAATGTATGTTGTTCATCTAAGACTGCACTGTCTCTGGAGGCTGGGAGCACTTGGTTTTCAGCCTTGGTTTTGTAATAGGTTCGGTTTATTGTCACAGTTAAAACACAGTTCATTCATTCTTCAATTATTAAGTACCAAAATGTTAATCATCAGAAGTGTGAAAACCTCAAACTTCTATATTAAAAAACAAAATGGGATAGGCTAGCTATATGAGAAAAAAAGGTACATAGGAAAATATTTTCTTGTAACTAAATCACAGATGATATGCCCTACTAACACAGTCATAAAAAACATTTTGGGTTCTGTAAAACACTGAAATAAAATTATTTTTATGAATACTGACAAGCAGCTAAAGGCATGGTAAATACCACACACTTCAGGTGTGCTGCAGGTTTGCTAAATTGCAAGTGTAAAACAGATAAATAACCACATTCACTTATAGGTCCTCGGCAAAGGATACTGCAGAAAGATGTAGGATGTATACAGAAGAATTAGAAGAAATTCTGCTACATTAGACATGTTTAAATTTACATGTTTAAGGACATTCTTTATCAACAGAGCCTGTCAAAAATATATACAGGAGGTTTTACTAGGGATAGAAGGCTATTAAAATAGAATGGAATATTTGACAGGGTTATTCCAATTTTGCATAATATGAAGACATGCTGTAATGTACTGATTTTTTATATACGTCACAATTTCAAAACAAAATTTTTGCTATTAATAAGACCAAAATTTTAATAGAGCTTGGAAGATATTTTGGTATCATGACATTCACTTTCCATTTAGAGTGAAAGAAAATATTCCATGAATCAGAAAGTTCTTTGCCTATTGCTTTTACACACAGGAAAGGGCACACTAAAATACCCTGCTCCTAGCAAAGGAGGTGTCTTAATCGTCCTGGATGTGTCCAGTTTCTGATGGAGTACTATTGATCCTATCTGAATTTCAACCTCCCCCAAAGGGGTAGAAGCACTGACAGCTACTGAAGGACAAGCAGCACTTATACTACATAAAACAGCCAGCCACAAATGAGATGAGACATAAAACCATGGAAAATATCAAAGGAAAGAAAATACAGAAGGTTAACTGTATATATGTAGGTGTGTGTGTGTGTGTGTGCTTCATGAAGAACTACAAGGTAATTGTGTCCACGTCCCACAAGCTTTGAATCTCTACAAACTTCAGCATCTACTACATAACACTCAAATGTATAGCAATTTTTTTAGACTCACCTATGGAATTCTTGACATGGTTGCTTACTGGCAGAAGTACCAAATGCTGGAATAAAAGCGCTTCCATTCTTCTGTCAGTTTCTATGGAAGAGCTGAATTACACTACTTTAAAAATAATGAAATCAATCTGAATTTTTATTTGCCATCTACACACTAATCAATGGAGCTCAGCAGAAAGCTGTGCAATTTAACAAATTCCATCTGGAAAAGAAAAGAATATCATCTATGGTAACAGCTAGACTACATGAACAAGCTATCCCACCATGTAGATTTCTGGGGAGGGGCAGGGACACCCATGTGAGCACGTGTGTGTTGTCAACATTTACAAGAATTTCATACATCACCATATGTTTATGCCTAAATGTTTGGTCAGCTGTCTCAGTAAGACTGCTGTTGCCATGAGCTGTTGTAAAGAACCCATTAATGCATTTCCTCAACTTTTTATATAGTTTTTCTCGCTTCCAGCAATTAAATTATCAGTGCTACACCATCAAAAGTTTTGTTTTGTCACTGACAAAAATGGTGTTAAAGTGAAGATAAGCTGAACTCCAAGAAAATGCTAGAGTACTCTCACTGCCACAAAAATGAGCACTGTAAGCCCAGCACTATACAGCTGTGCTGAAGACAGTGGATCTGTGAAATGCATTTGTTGTAAATGTCAGCAAAATTCATGCTGTCATTTACTAACATTGTAGTTCCTAGTCAGACAAATTATACGCTAATCTTTGTAAGCAAGCATGTAAACACGGAGGGGTCTCAGATTACAAGCAATTATTTATTTCTGAAACTCATCTTATCTTTTGGGTTTGCTTCTGTCTTGTCTCACCCCAGAGCTTATTAAAGCGAGGGCTGAGGCACTACAGATAACTCCACTGCTGTCTATTCTATCCTACTGTTAGAAAGAAATCAGAACGTATTCATATTTATGACAATGTTGTTTGAAAGAACAGAGCAGGCAGGACCTGCAAAAGAACACAGGATTGCTCTTAGTTACCCAGAAACAGAAATCAGAGATATTCTGGTGTCCCAGATTGTTGAGGATACAATCAGCCTGCCATCAGTGCGCCCGGG